TAATAACTAAAGATAATTCAAAAATACCAACCGGTCGAAATTTAAAGGATTTTCTTTTTTCTATATTAAACGTGTTAGAAAGAAATATAAAACATATTTCAAAATATCATTGATAATTTAAATTTTTAAATTAAAATATTAGTTGATATGGTATCAAAACTTTAATAACCGAATGATTAATAGTTTGAATCTACTACGATGATCTATCTATACAAATTTCAAGTTAAAAAAAAATTACTTAAAACATAATATAATTATTTTCTAAAATTTCATAAAAAAAAAATTAATTTTTTTTTATTGATGCGATTATTTGATATTAACTAACATCCTCTTGTGGAATTGCTTGAAATGTAATTGGGTTAACATGTGAGCCCAGTAATCAACTTTGAGGGAAATAGTAGGAAATAAAACATCAAGTGAGCCCAGCACAAGAGGCATATTAAGAAGGCAACGGCCCAGTTAATAACTAGGCATGGCAATGCGGCCCAGTTAGCTGAAACTGATCTACTTCTTAATTTGCCAATAACTAAAAATGGCAGCCTTCTTTAAGGTATGCAATTTTTGAGGGAACATGATGACTTGGATTCGATCCCAAAAGTAAAAGAAATAGCCCAAACTTTTATCATTTGACCATTCTTTTAAGAAATCAATCTTTTTCTTTCTTTGTTATTGATGTACTCAATTACCCTTTTGTCTGAGCATGAGCATGAGCAACTAAATTTTCACTTGAATTTTTTAATCAACATGCTTGCCGTTTCCTTTTCATCAAATATAATTAAACCCGATCTAACTTCACCTAAAGAGACTAATGCTGGTTGGTTTAACAAGTTGGATACCAAAAGTTGAAGATCTAGCGATAAAAAGTCACCTCACAATTATAAAATGTGAAGAAATATTTTTAAATGAACTCGTGTAAATCCAACAGAGCTTACGTGTTAATCTGCGGGGAGGCTTCTTTGTCTTCAAGACAGCGACTCCTTTACCTTGTTAGACGAAAGAACGTGGGCTTTATGGAATGGACGGTGGCACAAGTTGTAACCAGGACGTCACTCCACGTGGTCATAATTTTGTAGTATTGTCAAACAAGCTCTAAAGTCGGTATAATACAGGAGGCATAAAGTTGACGAATTCTGATCATTACTACTACTATTACTGTTATCTTAAGAAAACAGTGCAATTATTTTAGGGAAGAGTAAAAGAAAATGTAAAAGAAATAAACATAAGGAAAACAAAGAAATAAAAGAGAAAGATTTTTTTTAAAATTAAATTTAAGTAAAAATATTTTTATTGTTTTTTATGAGTTTTGATATGGTTTTTTTTATTCATATTTGTCTCTCCCTTCAAAATAAACTTATAGAAAAAATATTGTTATTTTTTTTAATATTTTAAAATTTCTTTACAAAAAATACGACCATTCTTCTTTCTCCATTTGGTACGGATAATATGGTTATTAAATAATTATCTTATAAAATTCATTCATCAAAAGATTGAAACGAAATCAACTTATTTAACGTATAGGATTCTTATTAAATGATTGATATTTCTTTTTCAATATGTGGATTGTGCAAGAAAATTGCGTAAGAATAATATTATTTGTTTTTTGTAATTTTTTATTTGGATTTGCATGAAAAAAAAAAAAGGTAATAAGAAAGGTGAATAGCTTGATATAAGAAGTTGGGACTTTTAATTTCAGAACTTTAACTTCTGGTTTCCATCGATCCTTTTTATTCCTGTTCGGAGTTTTTGACTCCTGTAGCTATGCCAAAATCCAGCTATATTATGCCAACGCGAATGTAGCTCGTCAATTGCTATTTGTATTCCCACTCTTCTTAAAAGATTTAAAGATTAGTCTCTTCCTGGAAGGGAAAAAAAAACACTGACAATATTCGAGAGAAAGAAAATGCCAAGCAACAGCAGTAGATTTAATTTAACAATTGTATACGTAGTTAGTTTTTTTAGTAAAAGAAGATTCGAGTCTTAATAATTTTAAATTTTTTTAATAATTATATAATGAAGAATACTATTTTCATTGTATAGCTTAACAGATTCATTGAGCTTTTAAAAAAAAAAAGCCAAACAAAAGAAAGGAAGATGTTTTTTCTCTTTATCAAGGAAGGAACAACCTTGCGTAAAATTGAAAGGGTGACCACAGGCACGTTGAGGACAAAATAAACCTAAAGAAACTTGAAGGGAGAGCATAAGAAGAATTGGATCTTAATGCTTCTTGATGATATACATTAAAAAAAAAAAAATTTTAAATCTCAGGATAACAATTTTTTTTTGCGAAGTGGAACAAAGCAATATATATGTATATGTTTGCATCTGTATTTGTCATAATACAAAAGTCATTTTTAAGCCTATTAAAATATTAAATCAAGCAGTCGTTATCAATTTTTTCAACCGCTAATTTAGACGGACCAATGAGATTTGTAAGTCTTGGTCTATGCAATGAGAGATGATCTTTTCTGTAATAATTAAATAAATTAAATTATTACAACTTGAATTTGTTTTACATAAAAAAAAAAAAACTATAGCACACGTATCCGCTAAAGTATGTTTGTTGGTGTCTAATAAAAAGTATTTAACCGTCAAATTTATCCAACTCTATTTAATCATATTAGATTCAATGGGACCCAATAATGTACAAACTTCTTACCAGCAAACTGTCAAACTTAAAATTGCAAAGACCTTGAAAATCTGACCGTTCGATTGTCTTTATCGGAAGATTTTTTAATAGATCAAAGGTCATCGTATTGCTAGTCCACGTAATAGTTAGTGTGGATTACCATACTCCCTGCCGATGCATGTCGGAGTTTAATGACAAGAGAATGGACCCTTTCTTTACATCAAATTGATATTATTCTAATTTAAGTTTTCTTATTAATAATACTGTGAAAATATAAGAAAAGAAACTCTTAGCATCTGACTTACATGGTAGGCGGATTTGCTTCTCGTGTTGATATTTTTACATTTACATTAACATCCTTTTTTTTTATTATGATTTTATCGTAGCTAAACGATTGAATTCGAATGAAATAAGTATGCTTTAGTATATAAAAAATAATAATAACTTCAATTTTTATCGTTTTATGTACCTTATTTAATTGAAATCATTAAATTTTAAAACTAATAATGAAATTTGAAATATGACATGTAATGTTATAAAAGAAAAAATAGTAATAAAAAATACATTAAAAGAAATTTTTTTACGAGTACTTTGATTTGTATATATATAAATAGTAATATATAATATTTAGATTAAGACCCTTTAGAAACATGACTCTTGTGTTCATTAAATTTAAACAATTGGATTATTATGATTTAATAAACGATAAAAATAAAAACAATTTAACTCTTAAATATTTTATTTTTTGTCTATTATTTATAATTGAACTCAACATCAATAATAAAATTTAGAACATGACAGATCATGTTCTATTAACAACATAAGAATAATCAAATCCATAATATTTATACTTAGTTTATTGTGTATTTCATGAAAGCAAATTGGAAAAAAAAAGGAAAAAAAAAAGAAAAAGCAAATTAGAGGATCTCCCAAGGAAAAAATCATATTTAATTAATGGAAGTGATCTCGTGCATCATTCAACATCATATTAAATTAGCACCTTTAATAACAGGCATGTGACCTGCCCATCATGCACTAGGAAATCACAGATAGCCAAGTCAAGAGTGGATATCATTTGGCCACGTGTAATCAAACCAATGAACTTATTGCTGAATTATTAGTTTATTGGACAGCTCCAGTGCCTAAAAGTAAACTCCTTCCTTTGTGTTGCCCAGATTATTCCCTGTACATAAGGTCACAGCGACTAAACAATGATACCGTACCTTTCTTTCTTTTTATATCTAAGGTGGCCCCACCACGTTTAAATTATCTACGGCTAGGATTTTTCTAGCTTCTGTCTCGCGAGACAAACTGCGAGGAAATCGAGAAGGAAATCAACGGTAACAATCTCCTCAACGGCTATTTCAAAAAATCTTTATCGACGGTCCACAGAACATCGGCGGTTGCCGCCCTACAGTTTTCTCGGTCTTGGACTAAGAGGTAGCCGACCGCAGCGGTGTCGGTAAATTAGGAGTAATTGCGACATTTTCATTAAAATAACCGGTAGAATATATAAAAATGAGCCAAGGTTTCATGAAAAAGCAAACCCCAGATCAGTCCTGCAATCATGTATAGTTTCTTGAACGAGTCCCAAAATTACCAATTTAGTCACATGTGTTATAAAATACCTTAATTTTTTCAAGTTTTCAGCACGAAAATATCCAACTACGGTTTTGAATTTGAAAAAAGTTTACCAAGTGAAAACACGATTAAAACAATTTTTATACCCTAACTTTATATACATGCTGTGCACGTTCTAAATGGATACCTTAATATCTAATACTTTGAGAAATTTGAATTGTTTATAAAATACTTAACACTGCCTTTGATGTTTTAATAAAGGATTAAATTGAAAAAAAGAGCATAGACGAGAGAATTAAATGATAAAATCTGTAGTTAAGGGACTAATTGAGTAGATTTATATAGTTTGAGGATTAATACGCGGTTTCCCCCAAAAAATATAAAGTAGCCGTTGCTGGCTGTCCTCCTATAAAATGACCTACGAAGGTGACTCCTAAGGTTCATGAAACTTGCAAACTACAAAATATCAATCTCCTCCAATTCTAATAGGGATTCTCAGGATCCGTTGTGGATTATATATGACTATTTTTTAAATTTTCTCTATGAGAGCTAGATTTGCTTTGATTTATAGTTCCCTGTATCTATCAAGGGTCTTGTTTATTTGGTGATAGTTTCTAGGAAATCTCAAAGAGAATCCCATGAAATTATATTGATCCTTCTTTTTCTTTGCTTAAAATTTTGTAAATCTTTGTTAATTAGCAAATCTTTAAGTTCATCTTTGTCAGAACTTTTTTTTTGAAACTTTCTCGAGAAAATCAGCAATTTGCTATAACAAAGTGAGAAATTTGAAACTATGGAGGCAATTTTTGCAGATCAGCATCAATCAATCTCTCCATACAAGCAAATGAAAAACCCAGCAACGAAGATCAACAGGACAACTACTCGCAGTTTCGTTTCAAGATCCATAGAAAACATGCCTCCTATAAACTACAACAACAATATCCATGGAGGCCTCTTCTTTGCTACTCCACATAATTCCCTCTCCTTCTCCTACCCTCCTCCATCTTCTCTTTCAGTTTTAAATCCACACCAACAGAATTATCATCAAAAGCATGCCCAGCCACCTCTCCTTCCTCTTCCAATCTCTAAACCTCACCACAAGTCTCTTCCTTCTCGAAGCCAGAGCCTTTCTTGCCCACCTACTGCTGCAAGAAAGACTAATAGACCCAGAGACCAATCTCTCACCCCAAAGAAATCTAAACAACCCAAAACCAAAAAGGTAGAAGAGCCAAAAAAGGAATCTTTGATTGTTGAATCTACTGTACCATTAGGACCTGACCCAAAAGATTTACCGAAAGATGTTTCGAAGGTTTTATCATCATCAGTGACTGTATCAGGTAATGATGTTATTAGTAATACTGTTTTTATGGAAGATTTTGAGAAGTTTTCAGGTTCGGTGTTTACACTATCTCCACACCCAAGCAGCTTGCCTTTGCCCAAGTTTTCCACGAGAACAAAGCTTAGTTGCACTACTGAAGCTGCCGGCATCGACGCTGGAGCTACAGATAATCTCCGGCGACTTTTACGTCTCTAGCGAAGTGAAGTTATTTCCTTTCTGTTACTGTGTGGCTGGCGATAATGAAGGTTGATCTTTAATTTCTGTAAATAAAAAGCATAGCCGAGAGCTTGTGCTTGCCTGGTTGTGGCATTTTTTCGCTTTTCGTTGTTATTTTTCAAGGAAGTTTGTGATCACCACCTGCGTTTTTGAATTGGGGTGCACAAACAAGTTTCAAGCAGAAAGAAGCTTTTGGTAGTTTTTCTTTTTCTTTACTTATTCCATGTCTGGAGAAAAAAGAGAGAAAAATTATGTAATCCTCCTTTTGTCCTATCAGTAATAATACAGTATTGCATCTGTACCTTAGTTTTTCATCCGAATGTGGGTTCTTTCGTTTTTTTTTCCTCCAGTGTTTTCAGGAAATTGAATGTTCAGAACTACTTTGGCTCAAAATGGCGTTTGTTTTGGGTCATTTTACCTTACACGTCAGTTTCTTAAAAAGAAGAAGAAGAAAGTGATTTTTTTGGAAATATTAGCTCATTTTGTTCTTTAGTTTTTTCATTTTTTCACAAACATTCATTGATTTTTGTTCTTAATTTATATAGAATGGTCTGTAGACTTCATTGAGGGTCCTTGAAATAAGAGAGAGAGAGAGTTTTTTTTTAGTTTATAAGATTGATTAAAAGCATGCGTTGAGATTCGAAAATAATTTTTAGATGTTTTTGGTACAATTTTAAATTGTATATATGTAGGTAAAAATAATGTAAAAATTAGATGTAGAAGGCCTAAACCAACAGTCTCAAAATTTTCAGTGAATTTTTGGTTACCGAAAGTTGCCGAGTCAGGCAAGATATTAGTCCTTAAGAAGATTTGCCTGCCACACACACTCTCACTCTCTCTCTCTCTCTCTCTCTCTCTCTCTTAATAGTCGAGATGATGTACTTCTAGTCTAAGCACACAGACTTGGTGCGCATACCCCAAGACATCTTTCTTTCGTTTTCGTTTTCTTTTCTTTTCTTTTTTCTTTTTTATGCTTTTATCTTTTGTTCAAATAAATTTGCGTCGATTGTACATAGTTATCTGTGGTTTTTTTTATATGTAGATTTATTAATTAAAATTAATTATTTTGTAATATAAATTGATTTAGTACTTTCTTATGATTTGATTTTTAATTAATTGCGTGTTTTTTATTTTTTTATTGACTAAAATCAAACATATTTATAGAATAGGTTTAATTTCAAAAAATAATATAAAAACATTATATTAAATACTGTATATTACATATTAAATTAAATAAATTCTTACCATTGATATTAATGTATTTTTATTTTATATTGAAATTTTTTAAATCAGTTAAAATATTAAAACATATATATTTCCGCGTACACTGTCCTACTTGAAAAAACTACAAGTAGAAGATTGGATAGTTTTTCTTTTATAACCGCCCAATTTCATCCATTGGCTGTCCCTTGGAAACCTTGCGATGATGTCCCCGCACGCAGTATTCAGTCGTCCCTTGAAAGGGCATGGCCAAATCAAAAAGCGCAAGAGAAACGCTAAAAAAGAAGAAGCTTCAATAATGGGGGTTTAATTGTTTATTCAGGGCATATCAATAGCATCAGAATCATCATTAACGTTGTTCATGAGTTTTGCAACAAAACTAGAACGAGTTCTTCGAATTCGCAGGCTTGAATATAACAAGGTCGGATATGTGATAACAAGGAGACAATGTTGCTTTTGCATGCTTCATAGATTCATGGGTTAAAGTTTTAAGATATTCTTTTATTGTTTTAAATATTTTTATTAAAATTTTCAATTATTGTATTTTTTTATTTTTAATTGTGTCTGTATTTTAATCATTCCAATCATGTTTTCAAACAATAAAGATAAAAATGACAAGATAAAAAAATCAAAAATTATTTTTATTATTTGAAAAATTAATTGAAAGGATCAACTACAAATACAATTAATAATGAAAAGATTTGATAATTAAAAATTTTTATATAAAAGATACGATTAATATTTTTGAAACAGGAGAGCAAGAGAGAGATATACTAAATTTTTATCCTCCATTTCTACTGGCAATTGGCATCACAGCTATAGAAGGAAAGCTGCGAAGATAGCAGGAAGGAATTGGAGGGGGCTAGCTACCTTTTTTAACGGGGAAATTAATCGGAAAGGTCATTGGAATGACTATGATCAGAGACTTTGATCTAATCATCATGCGCCGTGCCCTTATTTTGCATACTTAATTAGCCAAATAAAATCCTCTTATTAAAATGGATCAACTCATCCTTTCTACTTTCAGTTACAAACAATTCGAAATCCGCCGTTCAATTTACCGTCAAAGTTCATCCGTTTGCTTAATCAATGACAGCGTTCGATGAAATAGTCGATTTTTTTTTTTTTTTTTTTTGTCAAAAGTAGAAAATTTATGGAATTACAATAGAAAAAATTGAGAAAGGTTTTCCCATCTAGATCTCAATCAAACAAAAAGCAAAAGAATTCAATGTATAAAAAATAAGAAGAACTTAAATGCCATCACAAGAACATCTATATAGTAAAAATTTTATATAAAAACTAAAGATTTAGAATTTAAATTAAAAAATTTAAAACTAAACGGACACTGTCATATTTTTTTATGACAATCCACAAGCAGTCTGACCTATTTTTTTTCCCTACAATCCACATGTAGTTTTGCTCTCTTAATCTTTCTCTTAATACAAATACCAATCTATTAATATTGTGAAATGATTAAAATAAGAAAAAAAAATCAAGTACGAACCTTAATCTAAAAAAAATAGAAAAAAAGGACAAGCATAAAAAAAACTAGGTAAATATATTAAAAAAATTGGATAAATAAAAATAAAAAGCTAGATAAATATAGAAAAAAAACCAGATCTAGTAGAAATAATAAATTAGATAAACAAAAAAAAAACCTGAATAAATGCAAAAAAAAATCAGATCTAGTCGAAATAATACCGCATTGACAGTAGCTAAAAAAAAAAAACTCAAAATTCTAAAGAAAGAAGCTTAGATGGGAGAGAATTAGTTATTCTATTCTTGAAACACCAGAAATCGCCTTTATTGGAAATAAAAGATACATGATTTTAACTGAACAATGCTAATTCCATGGATCTTTCGAGAAATCACAGCGGGAAAGCCTCAGCCATTAGATTTGGGAAACCACTAATAAAAAAATCACTCCTTTAATGGTTAACACGTGGAGAGGCTGAATATAAACTGTGATCATGAATCCCAAGCTTCACAAAACTTTGGTTTGGGCCTCACCTTGGCCTATTCCCTTAACAGAGCCCAAATATCCAATCAAATCCTCTTGCATCATGGAGCCTCTTAGTTCCATTCTTGAATATAACCTTGCTAAATTAGCTTAAGCGGGCCCAAATGTCACAGCCCCAGGTCCGAGTCGGTTTAAAGCTGAAGTTCTCTTCCTTGTCGACCGTTGCCTATCGTTGTCACAGTGGACGCCGCAGTTCTGATTTCTCGAGGATGACCTGACCTGTGTACAATTTTACTTCAGGAAGCCGTACTGGTTTGAAAGTAAAGTATGACGATTCAACGCATGTGAGATATGAATGTTTTGTCATGTGGGCAGTGCGGTATGAAATGAACTTTCTAGCCAGTCCTCTTGGAACTTGGAATGAAAATCATAAATTTTATGGAAAAAAAATTCTACTATATAGTTGGCAGACTTAATGCCTTAAATGACAATGACTGTTAATGATCCACTTGTATTTTTGGTTGGATGACTGTCAGTCGAAGATAAGTTATTGCTTGTGGTAGAATACCGAGTTTTTAATCATGTAGTACTGTTTGAAAATATATCGTGCTTATTACACCTAAAAAATTAGTGGTGCTTGAAACTTGAACGCATCTTAAATCTTTTCTGCATGTGATTCTGTCAATTTTAAGACAGAACCATCAACCATGCCCATGTAAGATTGAGGAGCAGGACAAACAGATATTGGCCTAATTGGCCAAATTCCACATCCTATTCAGGTAAAGGAAATGGGACTCTCTGAATGCAGGATCCATAGGATTTAACTATTCGAAGCGTGCATGATGTGCCAATAGGAGATCTAACAAATGATATGTGCACATGATGGATAATGGGAGCTTCCTGAACGAGGAGGAGCCAGAGAATTATTATGCTGAGAAACTCCAAAAATACAATCAGGCCAAGACATCACTGTATTCTTACATGATTGGCCAAATATAGCTGCAATAGTTGTTATCTTTGATAGGGCATTATATGATCACGGCCCCTTTGCATTGTTCTTGAATTCAAGCTATAGTTTTGAGGTACTGAAAATAGTAATTTTTTTAGTGGCTGAAGGAAATGTCTGATGAGCAAATTTTCCCATGATGTTGGATTGGTGCTTCGGAAAGAATGCCTGAGGATGGTTTTGTTAGTTTGGGACACATAGGAGGCATGGCAGGCATTATTTATTAGGTGAACTTATTAGCCACATCCGAAACAGCATTTGTCTGCAGATGGGCATCTTAAGCATTGAAGGCAGAAAATGTTACCATACTTCAGGAAAGTAATAAAGCTAAAACAGTTGCATAGCGAGCAGCCTCATTAAAATAGGCAACCTAAAAAAACAGCAACTGGATGCCCTGATATAATCATCGGCTTCTCCTTTTTTCATGCGATGCTAAACCAATGTATGTCCCCTCTGAACACCTTTACTGATAGTAACACTAGCATCCAGTTTTATGACGATCCTGTAGCTGCAAATGGTTAGTTTCTGTCAAATTTCGAGACTGATCGTAACTTGGGCAAATAAGGTATTCAAAGGCAAAATGCTACATTTGGGGTCTCTAACGGGAAGAAAACTGCTTAACAAGAAACTCGATCGTAAAGTCAAGCCCTAGTTCATTCACCTTGTTGAGCCAAATCCCTTTGTTATGCGTGGACATGAATGGACGGTTAGCTAATTGATTCAATTTCTAGTTATCGTGAGTTTGAGAGTAAATGATTAATTAATACTCAGATTTCGTGAGAAAATAATTAAACCAAACACTAATAAAAATAAATTAATCATAAGAATACAAGTATAAAAATATAAAATTTACGCGAAAAATCATATTTATCGTAAAAGAAAAAAATATTGGATCAATTTCAAAATAATTCACTATAATTAAGAAATTAATACAATCATAAACTTGAAAACACAAAAATAATGATAATAATAAAAATTATTTTCTTTTTCATACAATGCTAAATCAAGGTCCGTCCCCTCTGAAAACCTTAACTTACAGCAACACTAGCATCCAGCTGTATGGTGATCCTGTAGCTGCAAATGGTTAGTTTCTGTCAAATCCACGCACCTATGGGTCTGATAGACAATTATAGATGAAAGCTACGCCCAACTGCCTGTTCTCTTTGTTATTTTTCCTCCCGAGACTGATCGTAACTTGGGCAAATAAGGTATTTTGTCGAGCAAATCCCATTGTCATGCGTGGACATGAATAAATGGTTAGCTAATTGATTCAATTTCTGGTGATCACGAGTGCGAGAGTAAACGATTGATAATAATTTAATCTCAAATTTCATGAGAAAATAATTAAGCCAAATATAAATTTATCATAAAAGGAAAAACTATCAGACTAACTTCTATATAATTCACTATAATTAAAAATCAATGCAATCGTAAATTTGAAAAACAAAAATATTAACAATAATATAAATTATCTTTTTAACTAAATTTGTATCATCATAAATCTATAAAATCATCATAGCTCTATAAATTTCAACACTTTATGATATAACTATCTTAAGCGCTTTCTTTTCTATAACAAGAAAAGAAAAAAACATTTTTCTTTTCCCCTACTACTCTCCGTGACAATAGCAGTTTCCGCAATTGTGCGTAACAAAAGAAAATACAGCTTTCTTTTTATACCTAACACGTGCGGCCGAACAATGCCAATAAGAAAAATAAAAGTTTGCTGTCAAAACCAAACCAAAACAAAAAAGGCCAAATCAACTTTTCTTCTTCTTTTTTTTTAATCATCACACAGGCACATACTTCACAATTTGATTTTCAATTTCATTTCCTCTTTAATTTAGTTTTTTTTTTCTATTTAATCTTCTCCCTAATTAATTCTTTTCCACTTCAATTTTTTTCCTAAATTTATTTCTTTATGGGTAATGCTAAGATACTCATGAATTGGATCTGAAGCATATATCCCACAGTTATGATGTATGTCTTTCATTTCGAAGACCATATCTATCCAGTACTCGCTTCCTTAATGATTTTCAAACTTCGTGGGCCATCAAGCATTTATGATGTGAGGGCGTGAGTCTGTTATTAGTGATGTAGCTAATTAGTTGGAAGAACAATCAAATTCCATTCTCTATGATGAGTTAAGAACAACTGAAAATGCGGTTTTGGGTACTGCTGGCTTAATTGCAAAGAATATGATGTGAGGGTTTTCGGGCGATTGGCTAGCCAACGTTCACTCCTTTAGCACCCTAAGTGTTACCTTCAGGACCATCACCTTATTACACATGCAAAAGGTAGTTCAGGAACCGCATAGTTGGTTGGCCAACTAGTTAAAACTTTACATTTATTGGCAGGAGTGGACTAGTAACCCTCCACGAGCTCTTTATGAAACAAGCATATCCTCTTACGTCTATTTCCAGTTTGATCTCTCCCACCACTCCTATCTCTGTCTTTAACTTAACTCTACAATAGAAGAATTAGAGCTTGCCTCTGATCGGGTCTTGGACTAGAACTCACTGCCAAAAATGGAGCAGCCATCAAATTCAAGCAAAAAGCAAAGGGTTTCAATTTTTGGTCTATTTATTGCTGCTGATAATTTTGACTATCTCTTGATGTTTTTTGAAACTGCCGATGCATGTGCTCATGGTGCTGTGTTACCTGTATTCTTTATTTTGTTTGGTCATATGATTGATTCTATGGGACATCTAGGTTCTGATCCTCAAAAAATGTTTTCACAGGTGTCCAAGGTATTCTTTTCGTTTATTTGTCTGGTTAATAGTATTAGTCTTTCGAGTCATTAGTGGTGGCAACCTTTGTGGTTTTCAAGATGATTTTAGTACTATGAGCTTAGACCCGACATTATCGGTTTGGAAAAATAAGAAGGAACCTGCAAATTTCTTGTCCAAGGTTTATAAGAATGTTGCCACTGCCAGTTCATGTTTTAGAAGCAGTTAGGCTACTAGTGGTAGTGCATTTGGGCTGCGTTTTAAAATGCTTTTCTGAAAATGTGTTTGAGCTAAAAAAAACATCAAATCGATGCCTTTTCAGCCTAAACACACTTCTACAAAAAGCCTATGTACTACACATTAAACACACACATAGAGAACATGATTGATTTAGATTCTTTGAGGCTGGGCTGGCCAGGCATTCTGATGCTGTTTTCCATGAATGCTAAGACCATTCAAATTCTGTTCACTATCATTTATCAATTTTGCCCATTGATGTTATGACCACGTCTTCCTCATCTTTAATGACCTGCCACCTTCCGGTTTAAGCTGCTTCTACTATAAATGTACTAACAAAAAATTAGTATGGTGGGCTTGGTGTGATCTTCCTTGCCAGTAGCCTATGAATTCTTGTTGAAGTATTTGTATAACATCTAATATTTTTGTTTTGTTGCAGTATTCCTTGTACATTGTGTATTTAGGACTTGGAGTTTTTGTAGCTGGATGGATTGGTATATATATTACTTGATTTCAAACCTGATCTTGCACCCAAATTTGTCTTTCCTGATAACTGCTTATCTTTCCTTCAGCTAGTTGAGTGCTAGTGTTTTTCTTTGTATCAACATTTCAGGTGTTGCATCTTGGATGCAAACTGGTGAGAGGCAGACAGCACGTTTGCGTCTGAAGTATCTGCAGTCAGTTTTAAAAAAGGATATGAACTTTTTCAACATGGAAGCTAGAGATTCCAACATTTTATTTCATATATCAAGTGATGCAATACTAGTGCAAGATGCAATAGGTGACAAGGTAGTTGGAAATTTACGACCTTGTCACCGAAATTTCTATTGTTTCTGGAGTATTTTACCTCAAACAATTCCCATCTACCTTGATGCAGACAGGGCATGCTATTCGTTACCTTTCTCAGTTCTTCATTGGATTTGCCGTTGGATTTACATCAGTATGGTAACTTACACTCCTCACCGTGGCTGTGGTTCCATTTATGGCCGTTGTCGGGGGAGCCTACACTATAGTTATGTTTACATTGTCAGAAAAAGGTGAGGCTGCTTATGCTGAAGCTGGGAAGGTTGCAGATGAGGTAATTACTTACTTCCTTGATTAAAAGAAAAGTCATTCTTCGGTTGCTTCTTTACTGGTTCAAAATTCAACTGCATATGCTGAAGCTTAGAAGGTTGCATAAAACCTTATACATGTCTTTCTCTTGCTCTTTTGGGTACCTTTCTCAACGGATCAGGCTATTTCACAAATACGTACAATATACTCTTTCGTAAGAGAGCAGAAAGCAATCGAAGCGTACTCTAAGTCCCTAAAAAACGCTCTTAAATTAGGAGAAAAAAGTGGGTTTGCAAAAGGAATTGGTATCGGATCTACGTATGGACTCCTATTTTGTTCTTGGGCACAGCTTCTCTGGTATGCCAGCATACTTATCAGGCGTGGGGACACAAATGGTATAATCAATGTCATTTTTAGTGGATTGTAAGTCACCTTCTGAATGATATAGCTGCTAGTTCTGAGGTTCTATTACTGCCTATCCATTTCTTTTTCCTCATAAAACACAAGTCTTTTGTATTTATAGTGCTCGTGGCCAAGCTGCTCCAAATATTGCTGCTATTTCCAAAGGCCGTGCCGCCGCTGTCGGTATCATTAGCATGATTGAAACAGATTCCAACCCTTCTAAAAATTTAAAAAATGGAATTATGTTGCCAAAAGTATCTGGGCAGATCGAATTTTGCGAGGTCTGCTTTGCTTATCCCTCTCGATCGAATATGGACTTCGAAAGCTTGAGCTTCTCAATAAGTGCTGGGAAGACCTTTGCAGTTGTGGGTTCAAGTGGTTCGGGGAAAAGCACTGTTATTTCCATGGTTTGGCGTTTCTATGAACCCACTTCAGGTATCCAATATTAGCTTACCGGAGGCTATTTAAGTCAGTGAATTCATTAGATGACTTCTGCTAGTCAATTATGTAGAAACTGTAAGAGGTCATGCGTAGCTTACGTGCCAACATTTTCCAGGTAAAATATTGTTGGATGGACATGATCTTCAGACTCTCAAATTGAAGTGGTTGAGAGAACAAATGGGATTGGTCAGTCAAGAACCAGCATTGTTTGCTACAACAATAGCTGACAATATCATGTTTGGTAAAGAAGATGCAAGTATGGATCAGGTTATTGAAGTTGCTAAAGCTACCAATGTGCATTCTTTTGTTGTACAATTACCTGATGGTTATCACTCTCAGGTGCGTCCTGTCCAATAATTCTTGTCTTATATATGAAAGCATATGTTTTACTGTAGCAGCCTAATAAAGATAGGACTAAAAAAGTTCAAGATTTTATAGGTGTGATCAGTTCTGATAAAAATGTCAATGTATTAAATCTCCTATAGTTAACTTTGTCCTTTTACCTTAAGAAAAGACATCTCATATATAATTCAGCTTAGAAATTATGGAAGACATGGTAAGTCAAAGCAAGAGGAAAGGTGAAAGGTCCGTTGATACATCGTCTGCTTTCTGTTTCCAACTTAGGCTAACATGTCCTTCCTTGCTCAAGGTATGTTTGATTGTTTCTTGATCTAGGTTGGAGAGGGAGGAACACAGCTTTCTGGTGGTCAAAAACAAAGAATCACTATAGCACGAGCAGTGCTGAAGAATCCAAAGATACTACTTTTAGATGAGGCCACCAGTGCCCTTGATGCAGAATCAGAACACATTGTGCAGCAAGCCCTGGACAAAATTATGTCAAATCGAACTACAATTGTTGTTGCACACCGATTATCTACTATTCGAGATGTTGATACAATCTTTGTTTTGAAAAATGGTCAAGTTGTTGAAAGTGGGAACCACTTGGAATTGATATCTGAGGGAGGGGAATATGCAGCAATGGTGAGTTTGCAAGTATCAGAACATGTTACAGATGCAAGCTTAATAGTTAATTATGGAACTGACGGCAATTCTAGTTTTCGAACACCTACAAACAGTCAAAATTATGAATTCAAGTCAGTTACAACGAAAGAGCTGAAGTCAAACGATGAAAACTTATCCCCAGCAAACTTTTCTCCCACCCCATCCATTTGGGAACTAGTAAAACTAAATGCACCAGAATGGCCTTATGCAGTGCTTGGGTCAGCAGGTGCAATTTTGGCTGGTATGGAAGCACCATTGTTTGCCCTTGGAATTACACATATGCTGACTGCCTTTTATTCTCCTGATATTTCTCAAATGAAAAAAGAAGTTCAGCTCGTAGCTCTTATTTTTGTTGGAGCAGCAGTTATCACTGTTCCTATTTATTTGCTGCAACACTACTTTTATACACTAATGGGGGAGCGTCTGATGACTCGTGTTCGCCTATCAATGTTCTCAGGTTATTTTCTCATCCACTTCTTTATTCAATGATATGGAGTGTCAAGAATTTACAAAATTCATCACTTGTATGATGAACAATCCAGGCAATGAATATTTTGAACAAAATTCATCCACTTCTTTATTCAACTTTCAATTCTTGATTTGTTTGGCGTGCATTTTCGATCTGAAACTCTCTTTTGTTTCAACTGTAGCTATCCTTTACAATGAGATTGGCTAGTTCGATTTAGATGAGAATAGTACTGGCTCACTGACATCAACATTAGCTGCCGACGCAACCTTAGTACGAAGCACTCTTGCTGACCGTCTGTCCGTCTCTCAACAATAGTGCAGAATATGTCACTCACTGTGACAACATTTGTTATTGGCTTTTCATTTAGTTGGCGTATCTCAGCTGTTGTCATTGCTTGCTTTCCTCTCTTTATTGGGGCTGCCATAACTGAGGCAAGTCTTTAAAACCGCCACCATTAACAATTTTAGATTGGCTTGTTATGTTTTATGTTTTGCACTATAGTGTAGTCCTCATTTTTTTTACTTATGTTTCCATACCTGTAAAATATGCAGCAATTATTTCTCAAGGGATTTGGAGGAGACTATCGCTCTTATGCTAAAGCAAATGCCGTGGCACGTGAAGCAATTGCCAATATTCGAACGGTAGCTTCGTTTGGTGCTGAAGAACGGATTGCTCTTCAGTTTGCATTTGAACTAAAAAAACCCAACAAACAAGTGCTCCTATAAGGACATATATCAGGCCTTGGATATGGTGCATCCCAGCTCTTCTGTCTTTGTGCATATGCACTTGGTCTTTGGTATGCATCAGTGGTAATCTCACACAAAGAATCCAATTTTGATCATGTCATGAAGTCCTTCATGGTTTTGGTAATGACTTCATATGCTATAGCAGAAACGCTTGCTCTCGCACCAGACATTATGAAGGGTTCACAAGCACTTGAATCAGTTTTCAGTGTTCTCCATAGGAAAACAGCCATGGACCCTGATGATCCCACATCAAAAGTGGTCGCCGATATCAAAGGCGACGTAGAATTCAGACATGCGAATTTCAGGTACCCTGCAAGGCCGGATATAACGATTTTTGAGGATTTGAATCTCAGTTTCAGCTGGGAAAAGCCTTGCTGTGGTGGGCCAAAGTGGATCAGGGAAAAGTACTGTAATTGCTTTGATATTGAGGTTCTATGACCCCATTTCCGGGATAGTTCTGATTGATGGACACGACATTAAAACCTTGAACTTGAAGTCATTAAGGTGGAAAATAGGACTAGTTCAACAGGAGCCGGCATTGTTCTCGACAACAATTTACGAAAACATCAAGTATGGGAATGAAAATGCTTCAGAAATTGAAGTAATGAAGGCAGCCAAAGCAACCAATGCTCACGAATTCATCAGCAGAATGCATGGACGATACGAAACTCATGTGGGTGATAGAGGACTACAGTTATCAGAGGGGCAGAAACAGAGAATAGCAATTATAAGAGTAATACTAAAGACCCTTCTATTCTTCTTTTGGATGAAGCTACAAATGCATTGGATACAGCTTCTGAGAAGTTGGTCCAAGAGGCTTTAGATAAACTTATGGAAGGCAGAACAACAGTTCTGGTGGCACACAGGTTATCAACTGGTCGCGATGCTGATAGTATTGCGGTGCTTCAACATGGGAGGGTGGTCGAAATCGGAAGCCACAACCAGCTCATTGGAAAACCTGGTGGTATTTATAAACAACTAGTCAGTTTGCAACAAAAAAATAACACACAATTATAAGTTATTTGCCTTGTAATAAGGAATCTAAGCCAAAAAGCAACATTTTTCAAACTATAACTGAATCTATCTGAGCCGAAAGTGTGCAGATTCTTCAAGCATTAAGTTTCTTCGTGAGTTCCTTAGTGTCATTTTAGAGATTTCAATACTTGAATCTGCTGTAATTAGTTTTGTTATTGCAATCTTTTTTCCTTTTTTTTTTGGGTTTTTTTTGTGAATCAGTTGACATTTACTTAACCCTCATTTTGTCACCAATTTTCATCCACATCCTAGCACAGAAGCTTAGGTAAAAAGCAGTCAGAAACTTAAGGAATTCGAGCTGGATTTGCCCAGTTTCGTTTTTGGACTATCGTGCAGATTCATGTCTAAAGAAGGGATTAGACCGAGGACAAGACAAGTCAAGTCATGCACTTGCTCTCTCTTTTTTCAGGTAGCCTTGTATACTTGCTCCAATCATTCAAAAATCTGTGTCAGGTTGAAGTTCTTATTACTTTAAAGGACATAAATAATCAATTTAAGGACTCTCACCAGCAATATAATATACAGAAAAAGCTAGAATTAAGTGGATTAATGCTATGAAAGTTGGTGGGTTTGGCAGACCACGATCTAACAAGCTACTGAATCTACTAATAGAACCCATGTGCTTTTGCAAATTATGGGCTAATTATACTTAATTGCGCAATTAGTGGAGCTGGATTCCCTCCTCTCAAAGTTAAAATTACCAACATTCTTGACATGATACCCATGATCTATAGAATTCCAACAACATTTTTTTTTTTTTTTTGCCAGAGGGAAAATGCGAGAAATGTGTCGGCGGTCTATTATTTTTCTTTCAGGTTACAACTTGGGTATTCATAATTGTGATTATTATTGTCATGGAGTAAAAATGACGTTATTAATTGATCACAAAGATAGACTATTGGAGGCGGATTAGACCTGGCCACGTCTTTTAGATTCCTTAATGACTCCCATTTGATGAAACAAAAATGCCAGACACGTTGATTGACATTCCATTCCACTATCCTTTATTTGTTTTCTTTTCTGTGTGACTTTTACTTATTTGGTTGAAAATTTAGAAACAAAAAATAGCTGAAGCATAATTCGTTTGATCCCTAAGTCAAAAAAGGCAAAATTGATATTTCCTAGTTTAATTGTTTTTTTTTTTTTTTTTTTTGTAATTAAACTTTTTTTTTATATATTTTATATTAAATAAGATTTTCCCTTAAGTATTTATCGTACTTAATTTAATATTATTTTATTTTAAGAAGTATCTGTTTTTTTCCTCCTCAATCTTTCTGTATTTTTTCATTTTTTTATTCTTAAAACCAAAAAACTTTAAAAAAGAAGAAGAAGAATTGAGTTAGAAATAGATTTAAAAAATAAAAACTAATTAATTAATTTTTAAAACTAGAAAAACTATTTAATTCATTTCAAAAAACTAAAAGAACTAATTTATAATTTACTCTATTTCTCGTCAACTTTTGTAGATATTAGATCAAGTTTATCTTCCCAATCTAATCAAAAGCATATAACAGCTATGAACACTAAAATTCTAGGAAATTCATTTGATTTTGAATCTTATTGCATTATTTGCAATATAATTGGTGTAGTTTTATCTCATTGACCATGCACTAATTCGCATTATAGCATGAGCATTATCTTGTCCAGTTTCATCCCTTGTAAGGCAAGAAATTGGTCATTGGGAGAGCCCTCTCACTTTATGTCCTTCCAAAAATAGTCAACTCTTCTTCTTTTTTTCTATTTCTTGTTGGATTTCCTGAAATATCGATTGCATCCTGAACTATACTATACTATGTACTCTTTTTATCCCAACTATTCCAAAATGCTTTCTCCTCAAAATTTTAAATAATACATTTTTTAAAATATCTCTAATTTTGATTAAAAAAATCAATTTTTTTCTTTCATTTTCTGATCTTTGATAATAAAAAAATTAATACTTTTTATACCTTTTTCTTATACATGTAAATACCTTTAACATAAAAATAATAATTTTTTTTACATGAATAATATTTATTATTGTAAGGACTGTACTGCATGCTGAAATTTTAAAACTAAAATATTTTCATTAATAATTTTTTTTTATCAACTTAATCTTGGATAGATTTTTTTTCTTAAATTAATATTGATTTCATGTAATGCAATATTAAGTAAAAATAATAATAATTTCATTACCTAACAATTTATCTTAAAATGGCAATAACATTTAATAACTAACAATTTAATAACAGTAATTTCATTACGTAACAATTTAATAATCTTAACAAAAGAAAATATTTTAAGAAAATATAGATAAAAATACCATATGACATAATAATTAATAAATTTTTTAACCGGTTTAAAAAATGAAAAAAAATAATTTTTTTAAGACAGAAAAAGTAATACATTGAAAACCATTCATCCATTGGTCAAGACGTAACTGGCATCATTTATTTTTTGTTAAAGATAGAATTAATTTTGGATGAATTAGTAATCTAGTTGCTTATTGGCTACTTAGTACTTTACTAGCTGTTTTCTCTGAGAGATCGATCTGCCATTATCAGAAACTTGAATGCTACCAACCATTACTACTATTTATTGCCTTCACAGCTCTGCCTATCCACACCATTAATGATATGTCCATCATAAACAAAATATACCAATTTCACTACACTAAAAAATTTAAGTCCAGAATTCAAACACCCAAAAAGAAAATAAAATGCTGCAACATATTTAAGGAAAAATGCTATTGTACTACGGGCAGGGCAGCAACAGTGCAACATAATTAATTCGGCTGCCAGTCTTTCTGCTTGCTCTTGTTCGGTTCAAGTAAAATTAAAAATTCCACCCTCTCCCAAATTAAAAAAATTAAAAACCACCATTAGTCCTTTTATTTTTAAGAAATAAATAAATAAATTTTTTTATTTCAAAAATTAATTATTTAATTATAAATTACTGCTAATTATACTTAATTTAATGTTATTTTATTTTATCGAATTTTTTTTCTTATCAATCTTTACATTTTCTTTTTACCATTTTAAGATAAAAAAATAGATTGAAAAGTAAAAAAAAACGATTAGGTTATAAGAAATTTTAAAAATATAAAGATTAAATAATTTATTTTTAAAACGAAGAAAGTTAATTAATTCATGTTTTCAAAACTAAAGGGTCTGATTTATAATTTACTCACTTTTATTTCATTTTTTTCATAACAGTTAAAAAGAAAAAAATGAATAATAATAAATAAATAACAATAATGATATTTTAATTAAAAGGCCATTTAAAAAAGGCAAAAAAAAAAAAAAAAAGGGTGGGGTCGGAAAAAAAGATAATGAGGAGTTTTTAGACTAAGATAGATTAGCTGGCAAATGGTTGTCTAGGTCAGCCAAACTCAAACTAACGCCTCTACCGCAAAAAATTGTATCCTGTTCTCTGCTTCTCTCTCTCTCTCTCTCTCGCGTTTTCTGTCTTTCTCCCATCCTCTTCTCGCATTGAAAAATTAGGGTTATTTAGTTCTCCATTTTTTCAACACTCTTCATATTAGGGTTCTTTCTCGAGTCTTGGCGTCCGATCTTTTCAATTCTTGAACTGGTAATGAAAAACCATAACTCTAGGTCACTACCATCATCTTCAATTGCTGATCAGAGAAAAGAGAGGGAAAAGAGAAATCAAAGGCATTGAATAAGAAGTAGTAGTAGTGGTGAGTGAAGAGATCGGACGGTTGAAATGAGCGCGTCCAGGTTCATTAAGTGCGTGACTGTCGGCGACGGAGCCGTTGGCAAAACTTGTATGCTTATTTCCTACACCAGCAATACTTTCCCTACGGTACTCTCTCTTTCTCTCCGTCTTTTTCCTCTTTCGTAATTTAGCACATTGTGTATGGACGTTTTCGTAATTTCGGTTTTTGGAGATCTTTGTTTCTTGCTTGATCGTAGAATTTAATTTGAAGCCTTTTCTGTAATTGTCTTGTTTTGATTTGTGAAAATAATTTAGTTAGCTATTTTAGTGAATTTTTCTTGTTCTTTATGATTTGTTTTCCATTTTTTTGTATTCTTTTATTAGGTATATAGTTTTGGGGGACAAAGTTAGATTTGAACTTGAAAGTTAGGGTTCCTGTTTTATGCTTGTCATGATAAATGCAATGATTGTGTGTATAATTTCATGCCTCCGGACTTTCGAATTAGTCATTTTGGTTTTCTAGATGGGGAATTATTTGTTGCCGACTTTTGAAGAAACTTTGGGCAGATTTCAATGTATACATTGACGTAGTCACTGAATTTTTAGACATGATTCGGAGTTTAAAATAGTCTAGAGGTCCATTTGGAGTATATTGTACGGTATGATTTTTGCTTTTGGTAAATAAAGTCTGGGGACACATAACCAGTTATTAATGTCTTCATTATCTGTTTTTTGGCTATTGTGATGCGAAACAGGACTATGTACCTACTGTTTTTGACAACTTCAGTGCGAATGTGGTTGTGGATGGAAACACTGTCAACTTAGGATTATGGGATACAGCTGGTAAATTGTCCTTACGAAATCTTGTTATTCATTTGTTTATGAGTTGGAGTGCTTTCTTGTGTTGAGATTAAAGAATTTCATTGAACAGGTCAAGAGGATTACAATAGATTAAGACCTTTGAGTTATCGAGGGGCAGATGTCTTTATTCTTGCATTCTCTTTAATCAGCAAGGCCAGCTATGAAAATGTTGCCAAAAAGGTTATGAATCATCTACTGATACCTCTTTTGATTAAGTTCCTGCAATACTACATTGTCTGCACTTTGTTGTGCTGATAAATGCTCTACTGGTGTTCTATTTCAGTGGATTCCAGAACTGAGGCATTATGCACCCGGGGTTCCAATTATTCTTGTTGGAACAAAACTTGGTAAGACTGTCTCTATCACCACATCTTACTTTCAATGGAATATCTAAATTTGTTTTAACTAGCTGGTTGGACTTTTTAGGCAAAGGTACTGTAATAGGACTGCTGCAACATAATAAACAAATGAATAACCAGTTCAAATTGGCTTTGATCTTGGTCCAGTCTTAACCTTGATCCGTAACCATCAAGCATATTCTACCTTATATTGCAAGCGATAACTGCACAACACTTTGCTTCTTTTCCTTTTTGCACTTCTCTTTTCTTTTGGCACTTATGTAGAAAAATTTGATTTGTTCTTAGTATGACCTATTGTTGCACAAGTTATTGTGTGCTTGTGGGAGGTGTCTTATTTAATGCTTCCTGAGAAAGTTAGATTGCAATTATTCTAGGATCAATGCATTACTTGTGGCAACTGTTTTGGGGGCACTTTTTTTTTTATGCTAGCACTCTATTCTCATTTGAACTATTTGCATCCATTTAATATGTCATCTTTTATCGAGATGCAAAATGACTTGGTATTTTGAGTTTGCCAACTAGGGTTCGTAACTGTTTTTTCTTTGCTTCCATTATGCAAAATTTCATCAAGTCCTTTTTTGTTTTATACGGGTTCTATGGTATGCTATGCCCAATTGTTGAAAATGATAAACACTTCCCATTTCCGATGAAGGAATTTGTCTCACACTAATGTAGTGAAACTTCTCTTACGATTAAATTTATTTTCCATTTGTAGATCTTCGGGAAGACAAGCAGTTCTTTGTTGACCATCCTGGTGCAGTGCCAATTACTACTGCTCAGGTAAATATGACCATCCTCCAGCGTTTCCCCTTCCTTTTTGTTGAACTTTCGTTGTTCAAGTTCCTTTTATTGATTTGTTGTCCTGGCTTTGCATTTGCTGAAGGGAGAGGAACTGAAAAAACTTATTGGAGCTCCTTTCTACATTGAATGTAGTTCGAAAACGCAGCAGGTATGCACATCTTCTTCGTTTTTTGTTCTCTATGGGCACTGTGTCCATGCCATCATTGTATTGAGGGAATTTGTGTTGTAATTTCAGAATGTGAAGGGGGTTTTTGATGCAGCCATTAAGGTGGTGCTCCAGCCTCCAAAGCAAAAGAAGAAGAAGAAAAAGGGGCAGAAGGCGTGCTCCATATTGTAACTGATGAAGCCATGATTAGGTTTGACAGAATAGAAGATGGTATGCCTGCCACTCACTGCAGTCACTCATTGCTGTTTCACCCTTTTCTATTCCTTGGTGTCCTCTCAAGGAAGCAGGAAGGCTTGTATAGTCTTGACTGACATTCTAGGGATTTCCATGAAAACATAAGATTGTTTCTTGTTTTCCTTAATCTCATGGTCTGTAATTGAACTGCATTCCTCGTCAAACAAGCATGTTTTTTTATTTTTTATTTTTATGTGGCTTGACGTATCTAAATTTGTCTCTCGTATCAATTGGATGGGCTGATCCTACAGTGAAAACATTCCTTCCTGGCATGAGCGCGGTTTAATCAATGTTGCTGATCTCCTATCTGGGGTTTGCAGAAATTCTGGCCTCTTGCTTAGCATCTATTGTGCAGTAGATTTTAAAGACAACGGTGTTTATTTTGTATTTGGTTTAACTAATGTAATTCTCTTTTTTGGAGTACTTCCTGTGTGCTCAGTATTGAAGTGAGCTCCACGCGAATGTTTTGTTTTTGAGTTGACTTCCAAATGGCCACCTTAAGTGGAAATTGTGATGGAATCGTGCAGAATGAATTTCCTACATCTCATAGTGTGGTTAATATTATTATTAACGCTCAAAAGGTTGGAAGTTTCATTCCACAATAAAGCGAGAAAGTCGATTAATATCGAGAAGTTTTTAAAGTGCCCCCCTCCTTTTAAGCTCAAATATGATATTATGGTAACTGATATTAAATAGAAAAGGAAAAAAACACACGAAACAGACGATGTAAGAGCTAAAATAAAATTATTTTTTAGCCACCAAATGCCTTTGCAATGATTAATCAAGTAAAGGGTACATGTAATGCAATATTTGAGGCCTCTAAGCTGAACGATGGACGTACAGATAACTCGCACCCAGCGAAAATAGGCACTTGTACACCATTATGCTCTGACCAATAATTATTTGAAACATGGAAACCAAGAATAATGCACATTATAATTACAGAAATTTGGTAAAAAAAAAAAATTCAAGAAGAAAACAAAATCAAATGCCGGATTAGAAGATTATACAAACAACGCTGTTACGCTGTTACGCTCCTGAACGATTCCTTCCGTCAAATCCCAAACGACTCGATCCATTCTAAGACTTCGTATTTACACCTTGATATGCCCAAATTTCTCGCCCATAAGACCTCCCTTTTGTTTCTGGAACTGAATGTACCGAATTGTGCTGGCAAAGAAGGCATCTGAGGCTGGATCTGGTGTGGTGGAGTCACTTTGCATTTCACTAGTTATTAATTCTACCAGCCCCTGGATTGCAGTGCTAGTTATCTGCGGGTTTCCTTTCTCAAAAAAGTACAGGTACCTGAAGCATGTGCACAGGGCCCATAATTATCATACAATGCCAGACTATATATATTGCATAGGGATAAAAAGTTTAATGCAGTTAAAAAGAAGAAACAATAAGTTCAAAATTACAGGTCCAAGCTACTCACTTGTTCAATATTTCAACAAACAGCGTGACTGGCCCACTGGTACCCCTTGTTGCATTGGCCATCTGCTGAGCTGCATTGGCAATTCTCAAGGCACGCTTGAGGCAAAGCAGGACCCTGAAATGAGAGAAAGCATCTGGAGTCACTCTCTCAAGAGTTCTTCATATACATAAGAAGCTAGAACTTGTCACAACGTGGAATAGTATAGGTTCAAATGTAAGAACACCCAGCATGTGGACAAATTCATGCAGACCAATTGATTCATGGACACAACTGTAAATTTGTTCAAGTAGAATAAAATGGTTTTAACCAAGAGGGTGCAGCACCTTTCCCCATCCTTGACGCCATCCTGATCATCAACCCAAAATAGATGTGAGCATGCGTAGACTGCTCTGCATTGATCAGGTTTCTTCAAAAGCTTTGCAGAATACTGGCAAAAGGAGAGAGAGAGAAGAAATAAGGAGACAGTAAAGGTTTTGCCAAAATTCTGTGGACATGACCCCGCAATAACAGAATAAGCAAAGCACTATTACTCCTGTGGCCTTGTGTGTTAGAGTGTCCCTGTTCTCAACACCAAATACATTCATCCTCTGGAGAGCCCCAATTATTAGATGTATTGCAGTCACCTGAGCCTTGGAGTCCTGAAAAATGTAATTAAAAAGTAAATAAATTAGGTAAACACGACCCACAGCACTCTTTATTTCAAGAACACGCAGAGACAGTCACTCTTTGTGAGTGGCTCTAGCAGAAGGAAATGGTTCACAAGTAATTACTGCAACTTCTTCTTCATATAATATGAATGCCTGTGTAAAAAATTCAAAAGCAACTGGCTCAAGATCACAGTCATTGGCAGCCTGATTATCATCACAGAACAACAAAATAAAGGTCAGAAATGCATAATTAAGCATAAGTTTGCACACAAGTATAAGCAGAAAAGTTCTCTCTTATAGGATATGGCAAAAACAAAAGGTGATAATAGCCATGAAACCAGAGAGGTAAGAGAGCATTATAGCCTTTTAAACCAGAAAATGGCGCAAAGAACAAAGAAAATCCTTTTTGCCTCATTTGAAATGCCATTGTGTACAAGATACATGTGTGCATGAATTTTACAGCTAACTTTTTTTTCAACGTTGAACATAAATATTTTTTATTCCTTTGATAATGTCCAGGTCTCTTTTCTGCAGTACCAAGTTTAGCCATGGTATACCTCAGCACATAGCAAGTATAACCTTAATGCCAGCTCAGGTGAGGGAACCGACGAAAGAGCCTCAATTGTCTGATAAAAAAGATAATATCCTATCAGCATCAACAAGATGAATTAATTCAAAAGAAGGAACATTAGCATACAGTGAACAATAGAAAAAGAAAAGAAATTTGAACACTTTTGGCAAGGAAATTGTCCATAAGAGTAGGCTAAACTGGGTGAAAAAAACAATATATGTAGGGAAAATGGGAATCGAACCTGAAAAGAAAAGAAATTTGAACACTTTTGGCTAGGAAATTGTCCATAAAGAGTAAACTAAACTGGGTGAAAAAACAATATATGTAGGGAAAATGAGAATCAAACATGTAAAGACATTGGTAATGGCACATCTTAAAGACAATAAAAGATTGCTGCTATAGATTTACCTCATTCAGGAGCTGAAAAATTTTCTTAGGTGTTGCAGGATCTTCTTCCCCTCCTACATTTCCATCCTGAACTTGCAACTTTCTCACCAACTGCGAACCACACAGAATTTCAGTTCAAGAGATCATTAAGAAGTAATACTGCAGAAAAACATCAGCATAGTTTGTCTGGTGTTATGCAAGAACATAAAAGTCACTAAAGGAAACGACTGTTTGTAAGATCAGAGATCACGAACTTAAACCACAACTACAACTCTTAAGTCTCAGAAATCTAGAATCCTTAAAATCATTTTTTCTCCTTTAAAAAGCCTGTCCTATGTGAGTAGCAAAGCACTACTTAACCATAGCAGGGTTGATTGAGAAGATTGCAATATGCAATGCCACACATTCTGTTCTAAATTGATTCATTTAATTCAAAATCAGTCATATAATCTGGCAAGCTTGCTGGAAACAAGCATACATTGAGAGTGAAGAAATCAATGCAACAGCATCTGCAAAAGGAAGAAACATACCCTGAGTGCAGCAAATACGAGAGGAGGAACTGTAAAAGGTAATCGTTTTGGTCCTCCAGCCATTATATGCTTCTTCACAGTGCAGATAATCTGAACGGAAAGAGACTTGTTTATTGAAAAAATCCAATAAGGCAAACTTCTATGAAAGTACAGGGCTTAAAAATTATAAACCTTAGGGCTCTAAACATTTGAATTTCACAGCAATCAACTGGTTTCTCAATTTAATAAGACTATATAACTATAAGGTACATTTGTCCAAGGGAAGCCCATCCAACTTCCTCACTTTAGTAGTGCTATATGTGATGGTATAACAAGTTATAAAACTATTAAAGTAAAGTTAACATCACATTAAGCGTGCAGGAAACCTCTAAACCAACAACTTACCTTCAACATTTCCTCAGAATCATCATTATAAAGCATATGTATTAGGCGAGCGACAGAATTTTGTTCTTCATTGAAATCCTCTTCATCAAGCTATTTATATTTGCAGATCAAGGGAATGTTAGAAAGCAGGCTATCGATAGAATAGTAACCATTCATATTATCTTTATAACATGAAATTCATACTGCAAAAACTTTGAATATGCACCTCATCCACAGCAGTCCCATCCAAATCCTTTATTAGCCCTTTTAATAGTTCAAACAACACCTCGACCTAAGAAGAGAAACAGCCAAGATTACCATATTTTCAAAACATAACGTATGAAATTTGAACAAGTAGGAATACTTTACCTTGTCAGCAGTAGAAATACAAGTGTTATTTTTCATAATACTCTGAATAACAACCATTGCCATGACTTTGTTTGTTACATCATTAAGACAGTCCATGACACGAGGGTAATTAGACAGTGTTAAGGCAGTGACAATGTCATTGTACTTTTCTAATGGAGCACTCAGAAGTGCAACAATTTGTTTTGTTGCTCTGCTATCTTCAAGCTTTGGCTTACCAGAGAGCTTCTTAACACATGCCCCCTGTAAATAATTTAGAAATATATTAGGAGTTGTTCAGTGGAATAACAACTTTTGCGACCAATTTAGTACAGAAGCACAAAGAAGGTTCCCTAAATGTTGTATACTTGTATGGTAATTTGACTAACTGACATCATGTTAAAAAACATGCAGAACAGGAAAAACTTATTTGCTCAGAAAAGTATATTATTCACATTTATTAAAAGAAAGCATACCAGTACTTGATCCACATAATCAAGCCGTTCAGGATGAACGTGGAGTGTAAATGTGAGCAGAGACACATACAAAGTAACAGCCGCAACAATAGGCATGTCAACCTGCGCTTCAATCACCTGCCATGGAATTGTTGCCAATCAACTTAGGAAGGATTTAATCCAGATTATAGACCAATAGAAATAAATACGTAATTTAAAAGAGAAATATGAAAGGAGTTGAGTGTTTCTGTTAGCTTCAGATGGCGTCATCAAATTCACTCACTTCTGTCACCATGTTAAGTTAGTGTTAGTTTTTAGTTTTACACCTTTACAAGAGGTAAGCCATTTGGCTAGCCTACAAGCCAACTTACACAAAACAGGAGGCTCTTCCACTGTAAATACAACACCTCTCAAAGATAAAGATAGATGGAATCTCAGAAGGAGACATAATAGGAACTATTTCAGGTAAACCAATCCATGAGTCTATTTCTCAAAGCACTGCTAATGAGTGATGTTAAACACCAGCAAAGCACTGCTCTGTTACTTTTACGTCGGAGAAATTTACCTTTCCAATAGCACTGCTCAATTTAGCAAAAGCTTCTACTTGCAGGAACTCGGGTAAAACCTGGAAGAATAGGCATCATTAATAAAAATGCAAAAGCATGACTTATGAGGGTCAGGGTCATAAAGATAACTTACATCCGGACTTGAAGCAGCATAATTGGACAATCTTTCCATTAACCGTGATAGCACTGTCTTAAGGTCAACTGTTTGCTGGAACCACACAAGGTTGCGTAGAGAAAATATATCAACATGTAGGCCTTAAACAAAAGAGGAATAAGAAGGCAAATACGACGTATATATTCTTAAAATTACAAAGTTATTACCTTAAAAATCCTTAAAAACTAAATAAATAGATACCAATGCGGCACCCAGCCATGATTGGGGTTATGGGGTAGATATGTAGTGAATTTAGGCAACAACTACATAATGAAGGATTGCTATTCAGACTTTAAAAATGTCCATTATGACGAATTTATTTTACTTGTAATATAATAGTTGAAGCAACTACAAGTATCATGGTCACAATCCACAGATTAGAAATGTTTAGTCCTATCTGTGAACAAAACAGTCCTTGAACTGGAAAACAACCTACCTGTAGCTGGGGACAGGCCCCCAACAATGTCTCAAGGGTTTGCAAGTGGTACTCATCAGGAAAGACTTGAATCATGCAGTCCATTAAATAATACTGCGCAAGCTCATCATCACAGTTGACAACCTGTAACAACATATGTACATGAAAATTCAACATATCATCAGATACAACATGGAGATGTTATGGATTTCAAAAAAAGGGAAAAAGAACTACAAAAGAAAAATGACAGAACCAGACCTGCTCTAGAACTCTGGGAAGAACGGTTTCTCTGTAAATTTCAAGGTCAACACCCTCTATTTGACTAAGAACATGGAGATTCTTCCCTACCTAAGAAGAAAGAAAAATGAAATGCATGTAATTCTTCCAAGTTCATTTCAAGGAGACTGCTTCTTCGGTGATAGATAAAGATCAAAAACTTACAAGATCACGAAGCTCGCTTCTTTCCTTTTCCAGCTTCTCCCTAACCCGAACAGGCCCCTGCAGACCAGAAAGCCCAATTGAACGCCTCAACTCAGGATCACCAAAGAGTATGAATGATCACAAACACCAAAACACCTGCATGGCCAAAAATCATGCTCTCATGATCCATTTTACCCGTATGGCATGCAAGTACTGTGGTGCTATCGATGCATGTTAAAAAGATAAAACATGGGAAAACAGGTGTTAGCAGATATACATCAAACCTGATGCTGCATCCGAACCCAAAGTTTATTCATCTCGGTGAAGTTTTGCAGCACAAATTCTACAGCATCCATTACTGTGTCCTCACCTCTGCAGAAAAACAGCATTAAATTAAAATTGAAAAGCTGATAAAAAACATATCATCATGGGAAATAATGAATAAACTCATTCCTCAAACATGCTAATGCGAATGACAGTAAGAGACTAGCCAAACATTAGCAGTTAACTCTCCAAACTAACATCTCTTACCCTTCATACTCAGACCCAAGGTCCGGTAATTTATCTCTACTAACTTGAGCAAGATAACTTCTCAAAAACAATCCACGAATCGGATTTTGAACACCACGACACATCTCGACAAGATCCTTAAGCACATCCTTAGCTGGAACCTCCTTCGATTTGATATACACAGATCCTACCGTACACAGTAGATACCTGTTTAAAAAAAGTCCAATAGTGCCAACTTTAACCAAACAATAAATAGAAAAGAAAAATCGAAACAGCAGCCGCTATAGCAGTTATGCAACTTACAGTCTAGGCAATATATTGCCAGCATGCTGCACAAGTTCGTATAAATCAACAATTGAAACGCCATGTCTACTCTCATCTTTGAAAAACATCTCTAGTTTCCTCAATTCATCAAACGCTCTCATATCTAAAAAAATATATAAATTCAAATCAATTCGAAGAATTACAGAAATTAAATTCAGAGATTAAGGTGACAAACTTACAAAGATCGTAGTACTTGTGCGGAGAGAGTTTAGAAGTTCGAAGCTCTGATAGCATTAGAGCAGAGCATTTGAGAGCGTCTCGGAGATTGTTTGCGTCCTGAGATTTGGAAATTGAGAACGAAATTAGGGTTTCGGATAAGAAAAATTAAGTGAAACTGCGAAGTTTAATTGATCACCAAAGCGCGATGCATGTAAAAGGCGTTGTGTTGAATGCCGGCGATTGCTTCTGCTAGCCATTTGTCTTCGTCCTCTATTCCGGCTAAGATCATTCTCTTCTCTGCGATTTGGATCAGGAAGTTGCAGAGATTGAGAGTTGGAAGGAATCAATACAGTTTGAATGGTGATACCTGGCTGGCAAGGTCGTAGGGGTGTGAATGTAATTATAATAATGGCTTTTTGGTTTTTGGATGGAATTGTAATAATCGTCATTTAACAAAGGCTGAAAGGCAATGGCCTTTTCTTCAGGCCCTGGGCCGCCCTTAATTTTATGGCCTGCTTTTCTCTCTAAACAAACATGGGCTTGGCCTATGGCTTCCCTCATTGTATTAAGAAGAAATAATTACCTTACTGGGGCTATGCTGAGAAATTTTATCATCCTTAAAGTGATATATATCGCAATTATTTCATAAATTTATTTTTAAGAAAAAAGATACACGGATAAAAAATAATTACATTCGAATTCATCAAAAGCAATAAGAAGATTAGAGAGTTAAACACATAAAAAATATTAGAGAGTTAAACACATAAAAAATATAATTACATACGGATTTATCAAAAATGATAACGTTTGTTCAATTTTTTTTAATTTTTTTTTCTCTCTTTTTTATCTCTTTCTATGAAATGAGTACGTGAAGTAACTACCGTATATACAATTAATTACTTTTAAAGAATTATAAAATTTCTCGACATAAGGATACCCCGCAGAGCCTCGGGACAATAAAAATAAAATAAAATAATGCATTTCTTTTCTCGTTATCATATAGCGTATACCAGCTGTTCGAATCTGTTTATCTTCTAACTTGTGAGCTTAGGTATACATTTATGGAGCTTAAAAATCAATATATATATATATATATATATTTTTTTTTTTTTTTTTTTTTTGTGTGATTTTGTGATGGATATTAGCAATTCAAATCCGTTTATTTCTAACTCACGAGCTTAGATATATATTCATAGAACTTTAAAAAATATATTTTTTTCCCCTATTAATGTTCTAACTGATACATTGAGAGTTTTTTTGATAGTTAAAAAAAAATCCATCTAAAAATAAGAAGTGACGTGTGCTCTGCCTTAGATAACACCATGTGATATAACTGTGAATTGCCATCCATGAAAATGAGTTTTACCTAAACAAACGACGTGGCATTTTTGTTCAGGGATTCAACATTTTTTTTTTCGATAAAGTTCCAAGCCGCACAATAGCAATCATAAAGATTATCAAAAAAAAAAAAAAAAATTGCAATCGTAAAAATTATTGGAAATACACAACCAAAACTATCCAAACTGGGACCAGGTCAAATTAGGATATTCATAGACAAAACGCACGAGAACTTTCGTTTGCTTGTTCGTTAGCCTTGAAAGTACGAAGTTGTCGAGAAACCGGAGTCAAAAACAGAAGATAGTTTGACTTGTATTAAAATGAATGGAAACGTGCAGACTATAACTTTTATTTTTTTTCTAATCAGTCATAATAAGTGTACTAAATCCGCAAGCAATCTTTTGTCTTTCTGTCCATATATTTTAAAAATGTTCGGCAAGATTAGATAAAAACAAAGAACATGGTCAGATATTCAATTTGAAGGCAAGGCCCCGTGTCTAATTATCGACGATTTTTTAAATTAAAAAAATATATCATAAAACAAGCAGACATAAGTACTGATTTTTTTTATTTTCTTAATGAAGCAAGTTTGATTGATAATAAATCTAATTTATTTCATTATTATGTAATGAAAGAAGATTATCTCTTTCATTAAGTAGTCCAAGATCTACATATATCTGGATGAACGAAAAAACAGATAAAAGAAAGTGATGGTATGGTTCTTTAGAATTTTTTATGGTTTTTACCTTGTCGTTTCCTTTTGTAATTTTTCTGTTAGTTATTGTTTGAATTCACAAAAAACATAGAATACAATATTCTATTCAAGGAATGAATAGTAATGGCGGGCTAGATATGGTGCTAGTATTATCATTATGTGGTCATAAATGGCAGAAATGTGAAACCGACTTAAATGCCAAGGGAAGTTAGAGATTAAGCTGGAATTAGAGAGGCGTGAAAGCAATGAAAGGAGAGCTGAGCATTGATGAGGGAATTTCAGCAAAAAGGTTGAATAAAAAGAAACAGGTCTTTCATGGAGACCTGATAGGCAGTTGCTATGCAGAGGGTCTCGACTGTGACCTTTCTGAAGTTGCCAAACTTGTGCATCATGTACTTACTAGTTCAGGTAAGAACAGGGACTTCTATATGTTTTTCATTTTGATTACTTTTTGATTGATGCTGATATTCTTCTTTGTTATTCATGTATTTTTCTCAAGATAATGCTTTTCAAGACAGCTTAGCCACAAAAGATTGTTCACAAGGCTACAAGTGCTTGGCAGAAAAGGTTGATCCTATTTCGAGTTCAAGTTCTATCCAAAAGGTTCTTAAGAAAGTGGTAAAGCATTGTGCAGCCTTGTCAGTGCTAATGGAAATAAACACAGAAAACTCTCCCCGGTGAGCTGAGGTAGAGAATTTACCTAAGAAAAGTGTTGAGTTCGTGAATTTCTCTCTGATTTTGTAAATAAATATCTTTCAGGAACTGGCGTTTATGGGATAAGTTTTTTGCCAATCACTTACCAGCAACTATCGTTTTTTGTGCTGCTCAAGAGGCGAAAACTATGTTCAAAAGGGATTTAATTAATCTGATAGGAGGTTTGCATCTGGAAAAAACTAGTAAAAGTTACAATAATAATAAATTTTTTTTTTTTTCTGATTTCAGTCATATTTTGCAGGTTTCAAGTTAAATCCAAGGCCTTGGTTTGCTATAAACCATGCCGGTTTAAGAGGAGAAAAGTCGCCTGACGTTAATGAAATCAAATCCTGTACAATTAAAAAATTTGAAGAAGTATCAAGAGATGATAGTACTCACTTGAAAGACAGCACTGGTTACAAGGTTAGAGTTACCTCGAGATCAATTTCTGTAATCCGTAGAGAGCTGCCAGAGTCAGCTCTTGGTTGGCCTCTTCTACGAAGAACCACTCGTCTAGCTCAAGAAAATTCAGAAGTAAGGAATTCAAATGAAAAGAAGATTTCTTCTGATCTCAAAGCAGATGATTCTCTTGTCAAGAAATGCAAGATTGAAGGGACTGTTGTCCAATTGTCTCACACCACAGAAGATAAGCCAAGAGATGGCAGCAGCAATAGAGAAGATGAGAAGTTTGGCCTTAGACAGGAAGTTTCTTCAAATTCAGGTTCTGTACTTACCAAAGAATCCACACGATCAGTGCCTGGCTGGCCATTTCTCCGCATAAAAACTTCTGCATCTTTAGAATTTTTGCAAGAATCTCAGGCTGAAGAATTTTCAGTGGTTCGATGGGCTTTGAATCTACCCAATCGATCGAAAGAAACAACTACGAAGTTCCAAATTGATTTTGTTTCCCAAGAAGTAGAGAGTTATGTTGAAAACAAGATATTCGGTTATGATGACAAGCACAACGATGCTTGCTTAGCAGCACCAACGAAGCTACCAAAGAAGGTGGACTGTTATGGCTGCAAGCAGTTCAGCTATAAGGAGCTGAAGAAGGCAACTTGTCATTTCTCCTCAGGTTCAATTCTCTCTTTTTAAAGGCATAGCTAGATGAGGCATAGAGCTATAAATTTACTTGTTTTGAAAATTTATATTGATGTGGATTTGATGTTTACAACAGAGAACTTCGTTGGAGAGGGAGGGTGTAGCAATGTATATAAAGGATATCTTCCTGGTGGTAAGCAAGTGGCAGTGAAGATCCTAAAACAGTACAAGGAAGCTTGGAATGACTTCTCCTTGGAAGTTGATATCATGTCTTGGTTAAAGCACAAGCACATTACACCTCTAATTGGCATATGCGTCGAGGATAATCATTTAATTCTGGTCTACGATTTCTTGTCTAAGGGGAGCTTAGAGGAAAATTTACAAGGCAAGTGTTTTTGGTCATCTCGGTTGCTTCTTTAGAAATGATGCAAGGATCAGTGTCGTTATTCAAGTGTCAATGATAATGCAGGTAATAGCAGGAAGTCTGTATTGCCATGGAAAGTGAGGTTCAAAGTGGCTACTGCGATAGCTGAGGCTCTAAATCACCTGCACAATGAAAGCTCTCAGCCTGTTATTCACAGAGATGTTAAACCTTCTAACATTCTCCTGTCACATGATTTTCAGCCGCAGGTACTATTTTAAACGAAGTATTGCATCTGAAAACAACTTTTAAGGCAAATTGTATTCTAAGTACCATAGTCTTGACGCTGTCTAATTCTGTCTACGCAGTTATCTGATTTTGGACTTGCCATATGGGGACCTGTTGATTTAGCCTATGCAACACATAGTGATGTTGTTGGAACTTTTGGGTATATAGCTCCTGAATATTTCATGAATGGGATGGTCAGTGACAAAATTGATGTGTACTCTTTTGGCATAGTTCTCCTTGAATTATTAACCGGAAAGAAACCAATCATTTCCAAAGGTCTGAAAGGACAAGAGAGCCTGGTTAAGTGGGTAGGAATTTTCTCACTCTCTTGAGTCTTGACTGGTTGATGATGTTTGGTTATGTTCCTAGTCCCCGGAAAGCCACTGTTTCAATGGATGACCTGACGTTATTAATGAATAACCAAAATACTCTTATGCAGGCTACCCCATTACTAGAGAGCAGGAATCTAAAAGCTTTGCTGGATCCGAAGATGGATAGAGACTTTGACATTGTTCAAATTCAAAGAATGGTTCTTGCAGCAACTCTCTGCGTCAGACAGACAGCTAGATTACGTCCTCAAGTGAGCCAGGTACTGTACTGTGATATAGTACTGTCATAATTGTGAATATGTGATCTGTTCATAGTTAACATAACCTGTAAACCACACGTAGTTTTAGTTCAATAGTCCATATATCTATTACGTCATCAACACGTCAGGTGCAATTGCCAAAACTTTCCTACACTCTACTTCTCTAGAATATTTTTCTTGACAAACAGTAGAAATGACAGATTTTAATTTAAAGATTGTTTGACCTTGCTAATTAAAGGTTTGAAGCTTAACTTGGTTTTATTCTTCGATAACTTTTGAGTTCAAGCTACCAAGAACTTTCATTTAAATTGTTCCTACTCCAGATACTTGAGCTATTGAGAGGGGAGAAAGGTGAAAGAGAATGGGTGAATGGCTATGCTAATGATTTAAAAAAGTCGAGCAATGAGGAATTTGATGACCTTTTCCTGGAATTTGGCTGCAAACCATGCATGGAGGCTTCATTTCTGGAATTGGATTATGATGATGCATCTCCTAGTAGTGTTGATACTGCATCGCTAAGTAGTGTTGATGTCACTTCACCAAGTAGAGCAGGACGAAAGAGCCGTTTTATGTTGGGAGACTACCTAAAAGAAGAGCAGGATTGATCGTAATGTTTTTTGTGTAATTTGCTGGCATTCCCTTCTTGCTTGATTCCAATACAACCAAAAGCTGGCATATAGGTTATGGAGTTCGCAGATGGATGGAAAGCACCAATAGAAGAGAATTTTGTTGCACACAGATTTTTTAGCAGCAACCTGAAAGCATTTTCTTGCAACCACCGGGTGGTAGCAAAATTCAAATTGGTCCCAGAAAGAGCAAAGCAGAGCCGAATTTTTTGGGTGAACAGGAACAGCACATATTCTGGGAATGTTTAAATGGTTTGATTGTATTTGAAGGCATATATGGCCTTTAAACTGTAAATAAGATTGATCATAAATAGCATATGTTAGATTGGCCACATGAATTTTATACTATGATTGAATAAAAATGAACACAAAATTGTAAAAAGAATGGAAAGAAAAATGCATTAGACGTAACAAATACAATGACAGTGGCTCTCTCAGCTTCTAACCCCTATTATCTCAAACAAACAATTCCCGCATTGACACTAACAGTGCCCCATAAGGCTCATTCATGGACACCTCGCCAAAAAAGCAGTAGGCACCATGAATCTCACAAGTTCTTGACTATGCTAACTTTCATCGAAATCAAAATGGAATTGTGTAAGGTAATCCATGAACATCAGCCTCAGACAGGTATCGAGCACACAGCCTAGAAGTAGAATCAGCATGGCATGTGACGTCATGGCTAACTTTCAATCTTTTGTATCCTAGCCTATCTTGCGTTCTTGACCCAAAAAGCCATTCTTGATCATCAAGATAGTTTAGCTCAAACTGAAAAGATTCCTCCAAATTCGCAATCAAATCTTGGTAAAGCGATTCTGCTGTCCGCATCTCCTTATCACACGATCTATCCCCCAATGGGGTTTCAAAAATTTCATTCTTTTGAGGAACAGAATCCGCTATTCCCAAAGAAGAGCACAACCCTGCTCCATTAACAGACGCATCAGGCTCTCTATGCATTCTCAATGGCAGCTGAATGCGAATGATGGTACCTGATCGATCATTATAACAGCTTAAAGATTACAAGAAGGCTGCAGCAAATAATAAGACCCACCGAAGACTAAAACGGACAAACTCACCATGAGTTTTGCCACCATCAGACAAGTAGCAAAGGCTCTGAGAGGACAGAGGTTGCTTGTCTTCCTCAGTAAGATCGCTCTTTTCAGCATCTTCTCCTCTATCCTTTGGAAGGAGCCTTTGATCCTCTTGATGAAACTTATCCCCAATACAACTCCTTTCCTCACTGCTTCCTTTCCTATGCTTCCTTCTTTCTTTCTTCTCCCTCTTTCTCCCTTTACGCTTTTCCGTTTTCAAACTCTCCTTTTGCAACTTTTGAGTACCAAAATAACAATTTTAGAATAGGAAAATCATTTGCCAAAGACCAAATAAGTATGATTTCCAAACTCACGAATTGGGCAATCATCAGACCAAAAGAAAAATCACTTGCCAATCCAAACCCCTTTTTTTCTGAGAAATAAGTAGTAGATTCCAAAAAATACCATATAAATGACGTAATTCTGTAGGTTATGTCATACAAGGGCAAAAATAAACGTAGTTGAGCAATAGACAATAAAAAACCAGATTTGCTCGAACAAACCTTAATCGAATCGGTCAGGTGGCCCGGAGGCAGGTAAGGAAAGCACCGTGACATTGCTTAATTCAACAGATCTGTGCTTGGTGACTGAAATCCAATCCTCCAATATTGTGAAGGGTATTAAAGGAAAAATGTTGTCTTTATTTAATCAAAGATCGTAAATTATTAAAAACTGATAGAATCAACAAAAATCTTGAATGGGTTGACTCGCTTGAGGATTTTTAATCGAATCGCAGAGTGACGGTAGGGTTCCTCACACGGCTTTTGTTTATACTCCATCAAACGCTTTAGAAGCCGCGAAGGGTGACTATATAAAGCCGTGAATGGGTTCTTTACCGATAATGCCCCCTTTACTTAACCATGCTTTGTTAAGTTCGAGGGGCACTATTGGAATCCAAGTAGCTCCCTTTTTTTTTGCATCACCTCTTTCCGAAATACCTTGGATTATGAATCCCATGTGGCTGAGTACAAATCCAAAGTTTTTGTAGAGTTTTCGATATATTAAGTTCATTATCATAAGTGTTATTAACTAATTTTGTATATTTTATTATTAATTATGTGATATAAAACATACTTATTTTACATCCGCAATAAATCACAACCGGAATTAGAGGTTTTTTTTTCTCAAATAAGGTATTTTTAAATATTTATTACTAAAAAAAATATATTTTTAAACTTATTCATGAAAATGAGTATTTGTTAACACATGGACACATATGTCATCAAGTAGTCCGACTCTATTTCTTTACATCTTACTTCAAATGAAAATCATCATTTCTCATGGATGCAAAGCTTTAAATAATCTTTGAAGGTAGGCTTGGAGGAACAGGGGACAGACATTTGACTGGCCTGTACTTCCACTTGTGTACATAACAACAGCAATTCCATTCTCTGAAGGTAGGCTTGGAGGAACAGGATTGTTCTTTCCCAGTTTCTCAACTTCAGAAAAAAGATGAAACCTTTCAATTGCTTGTACTTCCAAAAATGCCCAAATCATTTGTAGTTTCTCCATCTTTAAAGTAAATGACATTCTTAATAGTTGTTATTTTTGAGCTTATTGCAGCTAGCGTTTTCAATTGCTTGGGATCACTGATCAGGGTTGATGCTTGAGTCTGTCAACATTTTCAAATTAATCCAAGTATGAGCAATAAAAAATCTAGGCTTTCACAGAGAAAAAGTAAAAGATTTAAATGCCACAAATAGTTACATCATAGACAATCTATTCTAGTAAAGCAAGTACAAGAAGAGAACTCACACCTCATTGAGTGAATAGATCAAAGCATCCACACGTAGAGAAGCATAAATAGTGACAGCAGTAATGTTTTGCTGAAAACATCCCTGTACTCCAACAAAAACAACATTCAGCATTGGTTGTACATCCATAATTTATTAGGGATAAACAAAAAGGAAACGTGTAAACACTGCAAACACAAAGATACCTGAAAGGCAATCGACCACTAGTCGACTTTCAGCAAAAATCACAACACAAGTATCCGCATTATGCTCCAACTTAATAAGCCTAGATGCAAAGTTATGAACACGATCAAAAACCTGTCCGCAGGTTTGCCATTCATAATCCCCCAAGTGCGCCTTCTCAAACTTCCTACCATCACTAGCTGTGACAAATTCCTTACTCGAAGCCCTTCTAGAATTGCTTCTTTTTTTTTTCCCTTCTTCGTCTTCTTTTTGTGCTATGCGTGATTTTTTAAGATGATGAGAGACAAAGAATGGACTTGAAGAAGACAATTGGTTATCGAGATGCTTGGTCTTTTTCAAAAAGTATTAAAATTAGTTGCAATTGATTATGGAAATCAAGAAGCTACAAATCATGTTTAACATTGGAGAAGAAGCCAAATTGGTTGCAGTAATAAAAAAATTGACGCTCATGGAAAATATCTTATGTAGCAAAAAAATATCTAATTTAAAACTACCATCTTCTAGGAATAAAGATTTAGCAACACCCTTGTTTGGTAAAAACTCCAGGAATCACAACTGTTTTTATAAACGCGTCTGCTATTTAAAATTAGATTAAAGAGTGAAGAACTCAAAGGCATTACAAAATTCCAAGTCAGATGAAACCGTGCTAAAGAGTGCAGAGCAGGCATTACAGGACTCGAGGTCAGATGGGAAAGGTTTCGGCAGCAGAACTCTGCATCAGACATTCAAAGAGTGAACAAGTGCTGGAATGTGCTTACAGACCGTCACATTTGGGATGCGTTCCTAGTTTAACACAACCTTGTAACCACATAAAGTCGATTGGATCTGAGGGCAACTAGATGAACTCAGGTTGATTGTTGTGATTTACTTGGCAAACTGAAAGAATTTCAATCCCTTTGTAAGCAATAAAGAGCAAAGATTCCTAGAAAGAGAGACAAAAATGATTGATTTAGATGTTCACTGTACATGTTTGCCGCTCTAAACGCCTATCCTGTCAACAGGAGCATCTGCGCTATTTAAAAATTGGCTCATGGCCACCTCACAAAAAAACTGCAGACCATGAGCAGATTACAGTGTTTCACATCAAAATGGAATTGTATAAGGTAATGCAAATACATCAGCCTCGGGCAAGTAATGAGCCCGTGGCCACAAAGAACTTTCACGACACGAAATGTCATGCGAAGCGTTTAGTGTCTTGTTTCCATGACTATCTTGCTTTGAGGTCTCAAAAAGCCATTCTTGATCATCAGAATCATTAAGCTCAAACTGAGGAGGTGGTGGAACCCAATCCTCGATTAAGTATTTATATAGTGAGTCTGCTTTCCGCATCCTCTTGTTGGACATTCTGAACCGAGAAGTCTTAGATTCGTGGCAAAAGGAGCTCTCCTTCTCCAAAACTGAACCGCAAGGCATTTTTTCTGGTGGAGATGCAAGCTCCCCAACAACATCACCTGCCTTTGAGTTGACAGTTTCTTGATCAGATAAACGAACAACTTCATTCTGCTCCGAAACAGAATCTGCCCTTACCGACGTAGAACACAACCCTTCACTGTTGAGAGAGACATCTGGCTCTTTATGCCTTGTCAAGGGTAGCTTAATGCGAAAGACATTACCTGATTGATGATAATAACTAAAAGATTAAACAAGTCTGCTAGAAATAACAAAGACCAATTAATTACACCAATCAATGAAGAAATGCGGAAAACTCACGAGGCTTATCATCAGTAGTTGCTTGTTCCAATTTCCTCTTCTTGTTGCTCCTAATGCCATCATCAGACAAATAGCAAACATTCTGAAGGCATACAGGCTCATTGTGCTCTTCGGTGAGACCACTCTTTTCAGCTTCTTCCTTTGTTTCCTCCGGAAGGAAGCCTTTCCCCTCTTTAGGAGACTTACCCCCTGAATAACATTTTTGGTCCTTGTTTTCTTTCCTATGCTTCCTTCTTTGTTTCTTCTCCTTCTTTATATCTTTATAGCTTTCTGTTACAGACTTCTCCTTTTCCTTTTGGATCTTTTGGGTACCAAAAGAGCAATTTTAGAATAGATGACCAGCATCAAAGTAGTATGAATTACCCAACTCACGAATTAAAAAATCTTCCCACAAAATACAAATTACTTGCTCATTTATTTCAAGAAACAAGCTATCGCAACATGTTTAAATTTATTTCAAGAAAACAAGAGGCTTAAATCACTTGCCAATTTACTAAAATTGGATGGATTTTCTGTTTTGGAGAAGTGTAGTCATCCATCACCCTAAAAATTAATTTCCCAGGAATATTTTTAATTTTTCTTAGCATTCTTGTTATTCAAATCCCTAGTGCCACATGCGAAAACCCCAAGCAAGATCTCTTGAATCAAGAATAAGATTGCAAGATTTAAGCATAGTTTAGTTGCTAAACTAAATTATTTAATTAATTGGTTAAATTAAGCGATAACCCTAAAGAATTCTATACTCTAAGTAGTCTTGAGGCCGAAGAAGGTTAGTACACATCAAGAATACAATTACAAGTGCAATTTTGCAACGAAAGCAAGTCGAGCTTAGACGGAAAAATCAAATTTGCTCAACAAACCTTAATCGACTCGATCCTGTTGCCCGGAGGCGGGTACGGAAAGCACCGAGACATTGTTTAATGAATCTGGATCTGTAACTGGAATTACCCACCCGAGATCAAAAGGGTATTAACAAACAAATAATAAAAATCGATTTCCCTTCTTGCTTTGCTAGAAATCTAAGAGAAAACCCTAACCCTGATTGAATCGAACCAAACCCAGACAGAGGAAAGAGGCTAGGGTTTTTTTTTTTTTATGACGGCGTGACCTCCTAACCCTTCTGGCGTATCAATTGCCAAGAGGGGTGCGCTATATATATAGCGTGAGAGTGGAGATTGGCCGACTTGAGATGCCTCCCTTCCGCGTTCTTTTATACCGATAATACCCTTGCTTTAATTTGATTATCCTTCCTGTTTTAAGGGATACTATTGGAAATCCATCTCCGACAACAAAACTGTTCAATCACGCGCTCCAGATGGAGAGTGTTGCGAACAAATTCACCGCAAAACCGAGTCAAAAACTGTAATCCATTGAAAAAGAACCACGTTCCTTACTACGATACCTCACCATGATCCGTGTTTCACCTGATCACAAGGAGCCAAAGGAAAAAACATGAGTTAATGACAAATTAATTTTTCTTTTCCCAAATATTTTTATCAATTTTATAAAAATAGTAACTCTGTCTGAAAAAAATATTTTTCTCAGGAAACCAACTGAATAATAACTCCAAACAATATTAATATTTTGGTAGGATAATTGATGGAGAAAAGTATGTTATTTCTAATATATGTAGCTTTTTAAGCAATGTTTTACCTAATCATGAAGAACAGAAGGGAAAATAGGAGTTAATCACAAATTAATTTTTCTTTTCTCGAATATTTTTATTAATTTTCAGTTTTGATCATTTTATAAAAATAGTAATTCTATCTAAATTTTGTTTTTTTTTCAAGAAACCAACCGATTAATAATTCCAAACAATATTAATATTTTGGTAGGATAATTGATGGAGAAAAATATGTTATTTTTAATATATATAACTTTTTAAGCAGGTTCTCTGTATCGGACTTAATTTTATTTCATCCTATGTAATTATTTTAATGAATCACGTTGTTTTTCAACAAAAAAAAAAAAAAATTGAAGGAAACAAATTGCGAAAATAAACAAGGAATGTAGCAAAAAAAATTCAATACTTTGTATTGGAGAGAAAAAGGACAACCTAACAGACCCGGGAGACAGGCCCAGATTATGCGCCCAGCCCAAGAGCAGTGCAGGACTACTGGGTTTAGAAAATTGAGAATGGTGGCCTTCAAGAAACTTTTCCTCCGTTCTCACCTTCTAAACCAACCCATTGAAAAAGAAAAGAAAGGAAAAAACTATATTATAAGTGGAGTAATAGAAAGAATATTTTTATTTTATTATTTATTTATTACTAATAAGAAGATGTAAAATTGGCTTAATTACTCCTACGAAGCCACCAATCCATGCACTACACAGAGGTTTAACAAATTGGTAAATTAGTTATTCGACATTTTTATTCCGGATTTTAAAATAACATATATATGTCTGGAATTAATACTGTATCAAAGAGTTGGATCTAGTGTATATTTTTATTAACTAGATTATGTGTAATTTATGACAAATTAAAACACAAAAACTTATTTTGTTTGAGTGGAAGGTGCTTGACTCAATTGCCTTAGCTTTTAATTGGGTTGAAATATATGTTAAGATAACTAGCGCAATTTATTTCTATATAATTAGATAAGTTTTTAGAATGTTTCTACACAGATGACATATTGAAAAATTGAATATTAAAAAAAATATAATAAACATAAGAATAAATTGTAGATAGGGTTGTAGATAGATCAAATCTTGACTCGAATTCGATGTGATTAAATAGATCCGATGAATAATTTTTTTATTCAAGTCTGATTATGATTCGAATTCATTAAACAATTTATTAAATAAATCAAATTCAGATCTATCTTGATCTAATATGATAATAATCCGATCTAAAATTAAAAATAATATTTTTTATAATAAATAAAATATTTTTTAATATAGAAAAAAATATAAATATGAAATTAGGTTGAAATTTAGAGTTTATTTATTATAAAGTTCAAATAATACATATCCTTCAATAGTAATGACTATATTTTCAAAAAATCACATATAAATTTTTTGTCGTTTCCTTAATTCAATTTCATTAAAAAAATTATAAATTGATTTATATATATTTTGAATACTCTGTACTATTATATTTGTCATCGCGCTCTTTGTGTTGCCAAATGGACAAAAAATAAAGATTATTTATTATTTACTTCTTTTAGTTTTATCATACTTTCTACTTAGTTTTTTTTAAAAAAAAACTTTTATTAAGGTTATTTGATTTTATAGTTTTGGATTGTATGGCATTTTGAATTTTTTACAAAATCGATAAATAAAATATTACCTTAATATATTTTATTATAGATGTAGCGATTGAAATATATTTATATTCGAACAATTTATGAAATGTAGTAATTATAATTTTTTTATAAAAATCATGTGATAAATTCGATTGAGCTCCGAACTCAATTCGAATCGTTGGGATCCGGATCTAACTTCACATTTTTAAAATCTAATCCAAATTCATAAGATTCAATCTATTTCACTAAATAAATTAGATTCAAATCTACTACGATACGATCTATGTCCGACTCGTAGACAATCCTAATTATAAACTCGATCAATCATATAAAGATATGAAAAGATAGATTTAGCCATTTTCTTTTATGTTAATATATATTTTGTTGACTTTGGTGTTGTTTGAATCATTAGATCACGAGTTGATATGGATTTTGGATTAGGTATGTACTAACTTGTTGTTCGTGCAATACTACAAATCGGACAGAATAAGTGAAATTATTTTAAAAAATTATCATGATTAGATGGTTCTTGCAATATTGTATATCTACTGAAATATATTAAAAAAAAAAAAAAAAAAAAAAACCTAACTTTATGATTTTTTTAATCAAAATTATGTACTTAATTAATTCTTCTTATGTTTTGTAATAGATTTCTCATGAATTCTTATATACATATATAAAAACAAAAAAAACAAAACCGTAGTAATCTAAAATGCAAGTTTCAATTAATCGAAAATAAAAAAAATTAAAAATTTTATTTATTTCACAAGATTGTATCGAAAAAATAAAATAACAATTAATTATATAAAAAAAATTGCATAAAAAATTGAAAATTTTAAATAATTTTTATAATATTGATGAATTTTTTTTGGAAGTATGTATACCTATAGTTAAGTGACTTTTTGAAGTTTGCCATCAAAATAAAACAGACATAGGAATATATGTCTCACATTCGTGGGAGAAATCAATGGATTGTAATTAATTGGAATTTATTAAATTCATTTTAAGGATTTAGAATCTTATGTTGTATGTACTTTCACCATGTTCACCTTTGTCTTTCGGCTTCTATATGTTCCACTAGAAGGTTATGCAATTGACACTTGGAATTGAGAGATGTTGCCTGGCATTGCCGGTGGTCCAGAAGCAGTAGCATCTGTAATTACATATCTTCTAGCTTCCACTGAGATCTTATTTAAGATTTCACCTTCTATATCCCAATTACCAAATCAGTTGGAAATGGTTTGTTGCATGAGTTGTCTTACAATATATAATCGAACTTCGGCCATATATAATTTCCCTGCTTCGTAATTAGAAGGTTTTACTTCTAAGGCTATATATTATTAACACGATTTCTTTTTTACTAATAATGAGGCATGATCACAGGCATTGAAAACCAATTTTTTGCTTGCTAGCCTGCCTGGATGTACAAGTTTGGTGGGCTGAAACATGATTTGAATTTTTATTTTTGGTGGTGGTTTAGGGACTTAACAAGAAAATATTCAACAAATAGTGTCTATGCAACCTTTTCTTTAGTGAAGCAAGCCTACTATCGATCCGAAAGGACATGCTCCCTACTTCTACATCGAAAATCTAAACTAGGCAGTGCCATAAAGTTTAGCTTGTGTGGACAATGGATAAGGCTTAACTAGCCATTTACTTTGGTTCCATTATTTTACTTCTTTAATGGTTCTCCCAGATCAGCTATACTGTTGTTTTGCCCTTAATCTTGAAGTTACGTTGTTGTGATTATCATAGATAAGGCATGGACTACCATCTATTTTTATTCAGAATCTGTTGACTTTTCCAACGCTGCCTATCTCCAAGCATGTCTGTGGCAGCAGAAACTTCCTCTAGGCTTCTGCTATGCAGATCTTGCAATCTGTCGTTTGGGTATCCAGGGCGACGTTTGCACCATATATTACTCTCTTTTTCTTATTTGAATTAATAGCTATTGCTACTTTTTTCCTCATTTGATCAAAAAAGTATACATCTTTTTAGAGTTCCAATTTCTGACCTATTACGGCAGAAGTTCTTATCATATGTTTTAATTTTTTGTCATGTTTTTAGCTTCTTTTTTTTTTTTTTCTAAATCTTAATTTTGTCTTTATTGCTGACTTGTGTTTTTATTTGCTTGCTAATATTTTAGGATAAGTTCAACGTGTCATGGCTATAGAGGCACAAGAATTGAAGTTAAAAGTACTACAAATCGGATGGACCATGGTCCCAGAAATGCAGCATGTGTTCTTTTTACTTCCTCTTTTGCTATATCGTCATTCTGAAAATGTACTATGCGAGTGCAAGTGAGGTCATCAGACAGGGATAATTGCCACCGATGCAGAGGAAATATGGTGACTGAAGAAGACACTTGAGGTGATGTTGAAAAGGGAATGCAGCATGGCCAAAAAATAGTTCTCTGAAGGTCAAGTTGATAGAGCTACAAGGAAAGTCGGGTTGCGTTTCTGAAATTGTGCACTAAATGTGTGCTTTTCATTTATTAGTTAGTTGAAACCTCTGAGCTCTGACCTTTCTAACTTTTCACTGGACAGGAAAGCAATATTGTTGCTTCAGATCTTTTGCAATCATAGATTGTCTGTGGACAGGATCTACATTTGAAGAAGTTTTAAGAATTAGTATTTTGGAGGTCTTTGTTCTCGTAATCTCATCCCTTCATAACCAGTGTGAGAATTACTCACATTTTGATTTCAATTTTGTAAATACTGTTAATACCCAAATTTCCCTCCCCATTATTTTCTTTTTTTATTTATTCTTACTTTTATTGCAAAAAAATAAATTAAAAAAAAAAGGTGTGCAATTGAAAATGGGTGGTTAAAACTAATTCTTGGGGTCCAATTAAATCTGTCTTTGCGATAGCTTGTTTTTGGTCTTTCAAATAGGCTATTTCTTCTTTTTGTCTTTTGGATCATTGATGATGATGCTGCTTCACCATTAAACTAGAGTATTTTTAACTTAGTCTCTTGATGCTAAAGGGTGACTTCTACTATTTAATTTCTGACCTATTATGGAAGAAATTCTTATCATATATGGATAAATGCTTTATGTTTCAATTTTTGGTCATGTTTTTAGCTACCTTTTTTTTTTTTTTTTTCTAAACCTTAATTTTTTCTTTATTCCTGACTGGTTTTTTTATTTGCTTGCTAATATTTTAGGATAAGTTCAAATGGTGGAGCATTTGGGACGTGTCATGGCTATAGGGGTACAAGAATTGAGGTTAAATCGCTACAAATCGGATGGGTCATGGTCCCAGAAATGCAGCGTGTGTTCTTTTTCCTTCTTTTTTGCTATATCGTCATTCTGAAACGTCCTATGTGAGTGTAAGTGAGGTCATCAGACAAGGATAATTGCCATGTTGCCACCGATGCAGAGGAAATATGGTGACTCAAGAAGAAACTTGAGGTGATGTTGAAAAGGGGATGCAGCATGGCCAGAAAATAGTTCAGACAAGGATAATATGGTGATGTTGAAAGGTCAAAGGTCAACTTGATAGAGCTACAAGGAAAGTAAGGTTGCGTTTCAGAAATTGTGCACTAAATGCGTGCTCTTCGTTTATGACTTGGTTGAAGCCTCTGGCCTTTTTAACTTTACACTGGACAGGAACGCAATGTTGTTGCTTCAGATCTTTTGCAATCATAGATTGTCTTTGGACAAGATCTACATTTGAAGAAGTTTTCAGAATTAGTATTTTGGAGGTCTTTGTTCTCGTAATCTCATTCCTTCATAACCAGTGTGAGATTTACTCGCGTTTTGCTTTCAATTTTGTAAATACTGTTAATACCCAAATTTCCCTCCCCATTATTTTCTTTCTTTCTTTTTATTCTTACTTTTATTGCAAAAACAAAAACAAAAAACAAAAAATAGAAGAAATTAAATAAAAAAAGAAGTGTGCAGTTAAAAATGGGTGGTCAAAACTAATTCTAGGGATCCAATTAAAAGAAATAAAAGTTTAAAAGCCAAGAAAAACTCAACACTCCATACCTTTAATTAAAATAAAGGGATGGCACGATTAGATTTTTATCTTTTGATACATAAATTAATATTGACATCTAGCAAGACATTATGATTGTCCAATTCTCTAGAAGGATTCCTAGATTTGCAATAACTTTTCACGAGTATGGTTTCTATACAATTTAATCCTCATGTCAATTTATCATAGTATGATCTCGAACTTGGTTTGTTGTCCATTCGATTATGATCACACAAGTTTTCTTCGATCTCCAATTGTCTTAACTCCCACAAATTCTTGAGTAGACATTTATTGAAATGTAATGTGATAACTTCTTTAGCATGTAAATAATGACATGTTCTATCTTCATCATATATCTATCTTCATTAAATTCCTAACGCACTCAACGAATCACCCACATGCATCTCTTTACTAAGACCATCGAAACGAATGTCAAAGTACATCAATCCTCTAATGAGATAAATAGATCGATTTATTTTTATATAATTAGACAAGTTTTAGAATGTTTCTACATTTTTAATCATGTCTATCAAGCTTTTTTGGTACAAAATTATACTTTTCATTTATGTAAGAATATAATAGAAAATTCAAAAATACTCAAAAAAATTTAAGAAATCAAAAGTTTCAAGATTGCTCAATCATTAAAATTATAAAAAAAAATAAAGATTTTAACTTTTTTAAAAAAATAAAAATTATATCATTGTATAGCTTAATGATAGTTTTAAAATAAGAACACAAATCTTGATAAAAAAACATAATGAAAAAATTGAATATTATACAAAAATATAATAGACACAATTAAAACCACAAGAATAAATTATAGATAGGATTGTAGATAGATCGAATCTTGACATTGAATTCAATGTAGTTAAATAGATTTGGTAAATAATCTTTTTATCCGAGTCCGATAATGATCCGAATTTGTTAATTCATTTATTAAATAAATCAAATTTGCATCTATCTTGATTTGATCCGATGATAATTCGATCCAAAATGAAAAATAATATTTTTACAATCAATAAAATATTTTTTAATAAAGAAAAAATTAAAATATGAAAAAAATATAAACATGAAACTATGTTGAAATTTAGAATTTATTTATTATAAAATTCAAATAACGCATATTCTTCAACAATTATGACTAAATTTTCAAAAAATCATATTTTTTTTTTCATTTTCTTAATTCAATTTCATGAAGAAAAAAATTATAAACTCGACTTATATATATTTTCCAAACTTTTTATATTATATTTATCATCGCCCTATTTTTATTGCCAATTGAACAAAAAATAAATATTATTTATTATTTATTTCTTTTAGTTTTATCATACTTTCTACTTATTTAAAAAAAATTATTAAGGTTATTTGATTTAATGGTTTTGGATTGTGTGGCATTTTGAATTTTTTACAAAATTGATAAATAAAATATTATCTTAATATATTTTACTGTGCATGTAGTGATTGAAATATGTTTATATTCAAGTAATTTATGAAATGTAATAATTAAAAATTTTCTATAAAAATTATGTGATAAATCTAATTAAGCATCAAATTTGATTCCAATCCATTAGGATTCAAATCTAGCTTCACATTTTTAAAATTCAATCTGAATTCATGAGATCCGATCTGTTTGACTGAATAAATCAGATTCGGATATATTATGATGCAATCCAAGTCTGACTTATAGAAAATACTAATTGTAGACTCAATCGATTATATAAAGATATGGAAAGATATATTAAAAAAGGCACAAAAAGCAGGTAAGATACTGAACAAACGTACGGTGATCAGGTAACATTTACACGAGTGATACAAAACAAATCAAATACCAAAAAAAGAAAAAACCTTGAAAGGGACAAATTGTGAAGTGACGAAAAAATAAAGCTAAAAAAATAAAAAATAAAAACAAAAGAAGGGCAAAAAGGTAAAACCATAGCGACGTTTGCGTCGTATTACTCTCCTTTTCTCATTTGAATTGATGGCTATTGCTACTGTTGTGATCATAACCCAGTGTTCTCATCCTCGATTGATTGCCCTTCCCAAACTACTGTTGCGTTGTGGATTTTGCTTCTACGGTTTATTATCTTGGAGAAGCATATCATGCGACTATGGTTAATGCTGATGCTTTCCGTTCATAAAAATCTGTCTTTGCGATTTCTTCATTCTGTCTTTTGGATCATTGATGATGCTGCTGCTGCTGCTTGACCATTAAACTAGAGTATTTTTAACTGACTCTCTGGATGCTAAAGGGAGACTTGTACTCTTTAATTTTGATAATACAAATCTTGGCTTCTGAACAAAAAAGTTAACTTCTTTTTAGAGTTCCAATTTCTGACCTATTATGGAAGAAGTTCTTATCATATATGGATAAATGCTTGATGTTTCAATTTTTGGTCATGTTTTTAGCTACGTTTTTTTTTTTCCTAAAACTTAATTTTGTCTTTATTGCTGACTTGTGTTTTTATTTGCTTGCTAATATTTTAGGATAAGTTCAAATAGTGGGGCATTTGGGATGTGTCATGGCTATAGAGGTACAAGAATTGAAGTTGAAGGACCACAAATTGGATGGGTCATGGTCCCAGAAAAACAGCATGTGTTCTTTCTGCCTTCTTTTTGGCTATCGTCATTCTGAAATGCAGTATGTGAGGTGTAAATGAGGTCATTAGACAGGGATAATTGCCACGTTGCCACCGATGCAGAGGAAATATTGTGCCTCGAGAAGACATGGCCAGAAAATAGTTCTTGAAGGTCAAGTTGATAGAGCTATAAGGAAAGTCAGGTTGCGTTTCCGAAATTGCACGCTAAATGTGTGCTTTTTCATTGATTAGTTAGTTGAAACCTCTGAGCTCTGACCTTTCTAACTTTTCACTGGACAGGAAAGCAATATTCTTGCTTCAGATCTTTTGCAATCATAGATTGTCTTTGGACGAGATCTACATTTGAAGAACTTTTAAGAATCAGTATTTTGGAGGTCTTTGTTCTCATAGTCTCATTCCTTCATAACCAGTGTGAGAATTACTCACAATTTGCTTTCAATTTTGTAAATACGGTTAATACCCAAGTTTCCCTCCCCATTATTTTCTTTTTTTATTTATTCTTACTTTTATTGCAAAAAAATACAATAAATAAATAAAATAATACAAAAAAAGAAATTAAATAAAAAAGAAGTGTGTAGTTAAAAATGGGTGGTTAAAACTAATTGTAAGGTCAAATTAAAAAAAAATAGAAAATTTAGAAGCCAAGAAAGACCAAAAACTCCGGACCTTTAATTAAAATAAAGGAATGGCACGCTTGGAAAGAATTTTCAAAAAAAGTCTCGATTAATTGCAATATAAGGGAGTCATTAAAGTTCAAATAATCGAATCACACTTAAATTGATAGAGTATGAAGAATTACATACCAAAATAGACTTTTTCCCAAAACCCTAAAATCCACCTATAAGTATCCCTCTCTCTTGCTTTTTTAGATACCTTACACCTTTTATCATCTTAAAAAAAAAGCTTTATCTTGCCGATTCTCTCTCTACTACAACCAAACCCACAAGCTAACCTCCTTCCTCGCACGAACCTCCCATACATGCCAACCTCCTACCTTGCTTCGAACAATCTCCCCACACGCTAGCCTTCTCCCTCGCACGCTACCCTCCTCCATTGCCCAAACAAGCCCTCACACACCAGCCTCTTCCCTCGCCTTAACCCTCTTCGCACTCCAGACCTCCTCTTTTGCTCGAACAAGCCCCCACAAACTAACCTTTTTCTTCATGTCACCCGAACAACCTAAGTTTCTCTCTCCTCCAGCTTTGTTTTTCCTCCTCTCATCCGAAATCCGCCGCCACCACACCAACCTCCTCATTGGCCAAACTATACCAACACACATGGCTAGTGCCCCCCTCTTTCTTCATAATTTCAATCTAAACACTTATTACAATAGCTTTTAACGTTTGACTGAATCAAGAAAAGGAATACAAAAACTTGTGATTTGTTTTTATTATTGATAATAATAAGAGTTCTATTTATTTATGGACTCGTACAAAACTAAAAAAAAATATGTTGTTTAGATTGTTGAGTTTGGCAAGAACAATATGATGTTATAGATCGCATTTGTGTTTTGTTTTTGTTAGGAACTATATAGCAACCGAATAATCATATATCTTATGGAGGTGTGAAATAAATAAAAATTTTACATTTTTCTCCATCTAAAGTTTTCAAGATCAACCATTGAATCAACTAACTATATTAAGAACAAAATGATTAGAATTTACCTCTTGTAATACGAAATTCAAATTTATGAAAAGAACCATCTAAGTTGTCTAGTCTTTACTAATGATCCACGCAACTTAAACACCTATGCAAAAAAAAATAAGAATTGTAGAGTGAGGGTGGCATATATGATAAATTTTTGGAAGAGACATAATTTGCTCTTTTGTTTCTTACTTATGTTGTGTTATTGTAATAGTAATTTACGTCTCTCTCTCGGCCTCATTTATATAGGTGCGACAATAACTCCTTTTCGGAAAAGGAGTTGTAACTTTTATGGGTTTTATTTGGCCTTATCCTCATAAACCATGAGTCTTATCTTTTAGTGTTCAAGATTATCCATTTACTTAAAACAGACTTTTACTTAAGGAACTTAGCCCATTAGCTCAATAATTAATTTGGACCATCCAAATAAGTTGGGTTGATTATTTTTAGGGAGGTCTACATTAGAAAATAATTTTCTAAGTTACCCTTGTATTTTATTAAACCTAAATTATAAAACTAATTTTCATTTTAGGTAACTCGACTTCCAAATTAGGAAAGTGATTTCTAAATCGAAAATCGATTTCGAAATAGAAAATTAATTTTCAAAATAAGAAATGAATTTCTAAATCAGGAAATTGATTTCCAAAATAGGAAACTTTTTCCGAATTTTCACTTCTCTTTTTTCGTGTGAATGTTTAAACTCATGTGTATAACTCAATAGAGTCCTCTATATGTTGATAATATATCAAAAAGATAAAAGAAACTTCTTTTATTTCTTGATACATAAATCAAGATTGGTTTCTATAAAGGTATTATGACTATCCAATTCTCTAAAAGGGTTACTATATTCACAATAACCTTTTAGGAGTATGATTTTCATACAATTTGGTCCTCTTATCAATTTATCACGGTGTGATCTTGAAGTTGGTTTATTATCTATTTAATTATGATCACATAAGTTTTTTTTTTATCTCCAAATGTCTTAGTCTCAAGTAAACCAACTATACTTTCTTGGTTTACGTTCACTATGGCCACAGATTATTGAGTAGACAATCATCGAAATACAATGTGATAACTCATTTAGTATATAAGAAATGACATGTCCTACCTCGACTCATCTACCTATGTTCATTAGATTCCTAATGCATATAACGAATCACCCACATGTAGCTCTTTACTAAGCCCATCAAAATGAATGTCAAATTATACCAATCTTATAATGAGATACTCATGATGACTTCAAGTCAAAGGACTACTTATACTCATCTCGTATGAGATTTTCATAGACAATACCAAATAGGTTCTCATTACGAGTTACATCTAGTGACATGTTCTATAACATTATTCACTTGATTATTTGCTTTGACATCACCATGCCAGTAAAAGTGAGATCTCCAATCGCTATCTTATAATAAGAGCATAACGATCATAAGTCTTATCGTATATCGTCAATATCCAATATTGAGAATGTTATAACGTGAGATATTTAATGATTTCATTTATGTGCATTGACGTTTATCTCACATCTATTGATAAATCATTAATGCAATATATATCATATGGACTTTTATCTAATTCTATCAAATTATAAATAACAAATATTAATAGAAAGACTTCTTTATTAATATAAAAAATGCAATAATATAATATATCAAACCATTTAAACTTGTTAGATCTTAGACACCTACACTAATAACAACTTCATTATTTCCAAGTCCTACTAAATTATAGCAACTTTGGCTAAGTTTCGATGAATCGTTAGCTAGTTACATTGACTTTAGCAAATTACAAGCAACTTTGACAAGTTATAGTAATTTTGACAATAACAATGACTTCAACAATAAGCATCTACTTTCCTTCTCTAGCTAACGAAAAAATCAGTTATCATAGGGATGAAGAAAGTGAAACTAACTTCAAAAAAAAATGTTTGACAAATACGTAACCTTTCAAAATATCTTGAGTAATTTTTGAACCTATAAAAATTAGTTTTAACTAATAAATGAAAATGATAAAAATTCCATATTGTTAATGATTGAACTATCCGATGTTTTGATTGATTATGAATAAGATAATTCTCATATTTGCTCGCTATGTGAAATTGTTTTACTCAATTTCGTTCGTTAGAAAAGTAGCCATCGGTGACTTTTCACCTATGTGGATAAAACTGTCGTTGACTTTGAAATCAATTTTCTTCAAAAAAATGATATTTGAAATGAAGTTATTGATAATTTTTCACTTATGTGACAAAGTAATCAATGATTTCAAAATCATTTCACTTGGTTTCTGTTTGTCGAAAAGTGGTCACCGGTGACTTTTCATCTACATGGACGAAGTCGTCGATGGTCTTTAAATCATTTTTTTTCAAAAAATGATATTTGAAATGAAGTTATTGGTAACTTTTCACTTGTGTGATAAATTCGTCGTTGATTTCGAAATCATTTCATTGAGTTTCGTTCATTTAAAAAGTGATCATCGATGACTTTTTACCTATATGGATGAAGCTACTTGTGGCTTTGAAACCATTTTTCTTCAAAAAATGATCTTTAAAATAAAGTCATTGGTAACTTTTTACTTGTTTGACAAAGCCGCTAATGATTTTTAAATCATTTCACTTAGTTTCGTTCATCGAAAAGTGGCCACAGATGATTTCCACCTATGTGGACGAAGCCATAAGTGGCCTCGAAATCATTTTTCTTCAAAAAAATGATCTTTGAAATGAAGTCATTAGTGACTTTCTACTTATGTGACAAAGCCACCAATTATTTTGAAATCATTTCACTTAGTTTCTATTCGTTAGAAAAGTGACAACCGATGACTTTTTACCTATATGGATGAAACTCGTCGGTGGCCTCGAAATCACTTTTATTCAAAAAATGATCTCTCGAAATGAAGTCATTAGTAATTTTTCATTTATGTGATGAAGCCGCTAGTAGTTTCGAAATCATTTTGCTCGTTTTTGCTTGTTCGAAAATGAAGCTACTAGTGGCTTCCCACATATGTGGACAAAGCCATCGATTGCTTCTAAATCAATTTACTTGCTTTCGTTTATTTGAAACAAAACCGTTAGTGGTTTCGGAGTAATTTTATCTATTTTCTCGTTTGCTCAAAATGAAACTCGTTAGTGGTTTTTCACTTATGTGGATGGAGTTGTCGGTGGCTTTCAAACTAATTTTATTTATTTTTTATTTGCTTGAATTGAAGTTACCAGGTGACTTCCTACTTATAGGATGAAATTGTTGATAATTTCTTAAATCCATGAATCGAATTCATCGGTGGTTTTCCATAAATGAAGCCGCTAGCAGTTTCGAAATCATTTTATCTCGTTTTTTGCATATTCGAAAATGAAGCTACTAATGGCTTCCTACATATGTGGACAAAGCCATCGGTAGCTTCCAAATCAATTGACGTGCTTCCTGTTTATTTGAAATAAAATCGTTAATGGTTTTCGGAGTGATTTTACCTTTTTTTGTTTGCTTAAAATGAAGTTGTTAGTGACTTTTCACTTATGTGGATGGAGTTGGTCGGTAGCTTTCAAACCACTTTTATTTAATTTTTATTTGTCTGGAATTGAAGTTAGCAACGACTTCCTACTTATATGATAAAGTTGTTGGTAATTTCTTAAATCTATGACTCAAATTCGTCGGTGGTTTCCCATAAGTGAAGCCGCTAGTGGTGTCGAAATTATTTTGCTCGTTTTTGCTTGTTCGAAAATGAAGCTACTAAGTGGCTTCCCACACATGTGGACAAAGCCATCTGCAGACTTTCAATTCAATTTACGTGCTTTTAGCTTATTTGAAACAAAACCATTAGTGGTTTCGAGTGATTTTACTTATTTTCCGTTTGCTCAAAATGCAATTGTTAGTGACTTTTCACTTATCTAGATGGAGTTACCGGTGGCTTTCAAACCAATTTTATTTAATTTTTATTTGCTTGAATTAAAGCTACCAGGTGGCTTCCTACTTATATGATGAAGTTGTTGGTAACTTCTTAAATCCATGACTCGAATTCGTTAGTGGTTTCCCATAAGTGAAGCTCGCTAGTGGTTTCAAAATCATTTTGCCTTTTTTTGCTTGTCTAAAAATGAAGCTATTAGTGGCTTCCCACATATGTGGACAAAGCCGTCGATGGCTTCCAAATCAATTTACATGCTTCCTATTTATTTGAAACAAAACCGTTAGTGGTTTCGGAGTGATTTTACCTATTTTCCGTTTGCGCAAAATGAAGTCGTTAGTAGCTTTCTACTTATGTACATGAAGTTGCGGTGGCTTTCAAGCCAATTTTATTTAATTTTTATTTGCTTGAATCGAAGTTACCAGTGGCTTCCTACTTATATGATGAAGTTGTTGATAACTTCTTAAATCTATGACTCGAATTCGTCATTGGTTTTCTATTAGTGAAGTTATCAATGAC